GTTTTCCCTGCAAGCGGACACTGTTCGTCGTTTAGTTTTACAATTAATACCGTGTCTGCTTAACTCGTTGCTAGGCAACCATTTCATTAGTCCAACCCACCAACTACTAGTGTCACTGTTGACATGTCATTTCGTCGTTCCGCTCACAATCTTCCGCCCCCCTCCCCGGACTTTCTAGATCTGTTTTTATTCGCCCCTAGCCATTACAAGATCTGAACTAGGTAGGACATTATGGCCATTACAAGATCTGAACTAGGTAGGACATTATAGCCATTACAAGATCTGAACTAGGTAGGACATTACGGCCATTACAAGATCTGAATTAGGTAGGACATTATGGCCATTACAAGATCTGAACTAGGTAGGACATTATGGCCATTACAAGATCTGAACTAGGTAGGACATTATGGCCATTACAAGATCTGAATTAGGTAGGACATTATGGCCATTACAAGATCTGAACTAGGTAGGACATTATGGCCATTACAAGATCTGAACTAGGTAGGACATTATGGCCATTACAAGATCTGAATTAGGTAGGACATTATGGCCATTACAAGATCTGAATTAGGTAGGACATTATGGCCATTACAAGATCTGAACTAGGTAGGACATTATGGCCATTACAAGATCTGAATTAGGTAGGACATTATGGGCCATTACAAGATCTGAACTAGGTAGGACATTATGGCCATTACAAGATCTGAACTAGGTAGGACATTATGGCCATTACAAGACCTGAACTAGGTAGGACATTATGGCCATTACAAGATCTGAACTAGGTAGGACATTATGGGCCATTACAAGATCTGAACTAGGTAGGACATTATGGCCATTACAAGATCTGAACTAGGTAGGACATTATGGCCAGTCTTGGGTCTCTCTCTGCACTTGAACTAGTAGCGTCACTGGGGGGGGGGGGGAGAGGGGAGAACGCCCGCACTGTGTCACCTTACTAGGGGGTGACACCTAAACAAATATTACTCTAACTTTTGTCTGCTTTTTAAAGTTTTTAATAAGTGGACACGGTTATCTTCATCTTTAGACAGTTTCAAACTGTCAGCCATTCCGGGTCTGACCCTGAACTAGAAATGGCCCCCGGTCCTTGTGATTTAATTATTGATGGTTCACATACCACAAATGTTACCTCCCACCAATACCACATAGTTCACATACCACAAATGTTACCTCCCACCAATACCTCATGGTTCACATACCACAAATGTTACCTCCCACCAATACCACATAGTTCACATACCACAAATGTTACCTCCCACCAATACCACTGAATGGACCAGGATCATGCCCAGAACTACTAGCATGGCCCATAACCTCATTACCAGCACGTCAATAGGGTGATTTCCCTTTGTTACTTTTTTATTACTGTGTAAATCTCAATCAATATCTGCTGCGGTAACAACCCGCCAGTTTAGGCCACACTGGGCCACACGGAGCCTACACTGGGCCACACGGAGCCTACACTGGGCCACACGGAGCCTACACTGGGCCACACGGAGCCTACACTGGGCCACACGGAGCCTACTCTGGGCCACACAGAGCCTACACTGGGCCACATGGGCCACCAGCAAATGAGTTACTTCTGACATCGTGTGGCGATCAGTGTCGTAAAAAGCAATATCCCGGATCTGTATCCAATCGATCACAACCTTCACCTTGCTTGTAATTGTATGGCCGTCCAATACTGCAAGCGTCGCTTTACTTGTATGGCCGTCCAATATTACTTAGTGTAAGCGCCACACGCACAACATCTCCCATCTTGGATGCCATTTGACGATAGACTCGGATAGACCTGGATAAGTTCTAGATTTCAGTTCCTGGATAAGTTCTAGATTTCAGTCCCTAGAAAATGTAGCTCGTCAACTATGGGCTATAAATAGGTCATGTCTGGTGGGGTCGGGCAGAGCTCCTCACTGCCCTCAGCTGGTCAGCCATCTTTGGATGGTAAACTTCACGTATTTTGAATGAAGACAGACGTAAGACGATAACCTAGCACCAGTGGTTCAAGTATTGTTTGCCTACGTGTGTGTGTGTGTGGGGGGGGGGGGGGGATAGCCCAGGAGGGAGTACTTAAAATAAGTGGAGTCAAAGTAATTGTCGTCAAGTCTTCAAGTCTTGGACGCTCTTAGACCGCTGGACAAGTGCCGCACAAAGAGCAAATCATTTTTTTACAAAATCAGATCTTGTAAATGTTGACTTTTTCGTAGTTTGATGACCAAGGGGGTGGGGCTTGGAGCGACACACTGACTGATCAACAGTGGCGCCAACCGTGTCATGCTGGTAGACTACTATCATGTGTTGTGGATGGGGGGGGGGTGATATGTCGCTACGCCACTGCTGCAGACGCCAGTGTGTGATGATGGTGGGGGGTGATATGTCGCTACGCCACTGCTGCAGACGCCAGTGTGTGATGATGGGGGGGGGGTGATATGTCGCTACGCCACTGCTGCAGACGCCAGTGTGTGATGATGGGGGGGGGGGTGATATGTCGCTACGCCACTGCTGCAGACGCCAGTGTGTGATGATGGGGGGGGGGGGGGGGTGATATGTCGCTACGCCACTGCTGCAGACGCCAGTGTGTGATGATGGTGGGGGGTGATATGTCGCTACGCCACTGCTGCAGACGCCAGTGTGTGATGATGGTGGGGGGTGATATGTCGCTACGCCACTGCTGCAGACGCCAGTGTGTGATGATGGTGGGGGGTGATATGTCGCTACGCCACTGCTGCAGACGCCAGTGTGTGATGATGGTGGGGGGTGATATGTCGCTACGCCACTGCTGCAGACGCCAGTGTGTGATGATGGGGGGGGGGGTGATATGTCGCTACGCCACTGCTGCAGACGCCAGTGTGTGATGATGGTGGGGGGTGATATGTCGCTACGCCACTGCTGCAGACGCCAGTGTGTGATGATGGTGGGGGGTGATATGTCGCTACGCCACTGCTGCAGACGCCAGTGTGTGATGATGGTGGGGGGTGATATGTCGCTACGCCACTGCTGCAGACGCCAGTGTGTGATGATGGTGGGGGGTGATATGTCGCTACGCCACTGCTGCAGACGCCAGTGTGTGATGATGGTGGGGGGTGATATGTCGCTACGCCACTGCTGCAGACGCCAGTGTGTGATGATGGTGGGGGGTGATATGTCGCTACGCCACTGCTGCAGACGCCAGTGTGTGATGATGGTGGGGGGTGATATGTCGCTACGCCACTGCTGCAGACGCCAGTGTGTGATGATGGTGGGGGGTGATATGTCGCTACGCCACTGCTGCAGACGCCAGTGTGTGATGATGGTGGGGGGTGATATGTCGCTACGCCACTGCTGCAGACGCCAGTGTGTGATGATGGTGGGGGGTGATATGTCGCTACGCCACTGCTGCAGACGCCAGTGTGTGATGATGGTGGGGGGTGATATGTCGCTACGCCACTGCTGCAGACGCCAGTGTGTGATGATGGGGGGGGGGGGTGATATGTCGCTACGCCACTGCTGCAGACGCCAGTGTGTGATGATGGTGGGGGGTGATATGTCGCTACGCCACTGCTGCAGACGCCAGTGTGTGATGATGGTGGGGGGTGATATGTCGCTACGCCACTGCTGCAGACGCCAGTGTGTGATGATGGTGGGGGGTGATATGTCGCTACGCCACTGCTGCAGACGCCAGTGTGTGATGATGGTGGGGGGTGATATGTCGCTACGCCACTGCTGCAGACGCCAGTGTGTGATGATGGTGGGGGGTGATATGTCGCTACGCCACTGCTGCAGACGCCAGTGTGTGATGATGGTGGGGGGTGATATGTCGCTACGCCACTGCTGCAGACGCCAGTGTGTGATGATGGTGGGGGGTGATATGTCGCTACGCCACTGCTGCAGACGCCAGTGTGTGATGATGGTGGGGGGTGATATGTCGCTACGCCACTGCTGCAGACGCCAGTGTGTGATGATGGTGGGGGGTGATATGTCGCTACGCCACTGCTGCAGACGCCAGTGTGTGATGATGGTGGGGGGTGATATGTCGCTACGCCACTGCTGCAGACGCCAGTGTGTGATGATGGTGGGGGTGATATGTCGCTACGCCACTGCTGCAGACGCCAGTGTGTGATGATGGTGGGGGTGATATGTCGCTACGCCACTGCTGCAGACGCCAGTGTGTGATGATGGTGGGGGGTGATATGTCGCTACGCCACTGCTGCAGACGCCAGTGTGTGATGATGGTGGGGGGTGATATGTCGCTACGCCACTGCTGCAGACGCCAGTGTGTGATGATGGTGGGGGGTGATATGTCGCTACGCCACTGCTGCAGACGCCAGTGTGTGATGATGGTGGGGGGTGATATGTCGCTACGCCACTGCTGCAGACGCCAGTGTGTGATGATGGGGGGGGGGGGTGATATGTCGCTACGCCACTGCTGCAGACGCCAGTGTGTGATGATGGGGGGGGGGTGATATGTCGCTACGCCACTGCTGCAGACGCCAGTGTGTGATGATGGTGGGGGGTGATATGTCGCTACGCCACTGCTGCAGACGCCAGTGTGTGATTAGATAAGACGAGCACAGATAACGTCGGATGGTTTGTTTAGATCTGGTTTATGTGTACAAGTCGGTCAGCTGCCAGTCCGTCGAGTGACCACAAGTTCCTGGTATAGCCGCCAGGAAGTAAAGATGGACGGCTCACACCGGCCACATTCCTACATGTCTGCCCGGAGAAAAACGGTTAGTGTCGGCTGTCGTTTGCCCGCCTTTCTTGGACTGGGTTCTCTGCCTGTCTGAGGCATGTCCGTAACATGTTCTCAAACCTCCGTGTCGGAACGTCATGAGCGTCCTCGTCCGGTCCGTCGTTAAGTGTCGTGTCACTGGTTTCCTTCACCAACCGTAAACTCTGACACCCCCCCCCCCCCACACACACACTTCTACACTCCCAGTTGGACCTAGACATGTACTATCCCGTGTGTGCTGCATCTAACGAGGTCCCTGTTCTTGTTTCAGAACTATCCATCACGCAGCATGCCGGCCAACAGCCCCAACACAACGTCCAGTCAGTCCTCGAACCAGAGCCAGTCAGGCGAGCCACTGAGCCGGACCAACCTCTACATCCGGGGTCTCAACCCCAGCACGACAGACAAGGACTTGGTCAACCTGTGCAACTCGTAAGTTCCTCACATCCCCCACACACAGCCCCCACACACACATCTACAGCCCCCCACACATCCCCACGCACATCTACAGCCCCCCACACATCCCCACGCACATCTACAGCCCCCCACACATCTACACATCCCCACACCATCTACAGCCCCCCACACACATCTACAGCCCCCCACACACATCTACAGCCCCCCACACACATCCCCCACACCATCTACACATCCCCACACCATCTGCAGCCCCCCACACACATCTACAGCCCCCCACACACATCACCACGCACATCTACAGCCCCCACACACACAGCCCCACGCACATCTACAGCCCCTCCTCACATCTACAGCCCCCACACACATCCTCCACACATCTACAGCCCCCCACACACAGCCCCTCCTCACATCTACAGCCCCTCCTCACATCTACAGCCCCTCCTCACATCTACAGCCCCCACACACATCCTCCACACATCTACAGCCCCCCACACACATCCCCTGCACATCTACTGCCCCCCACACCAACTCCCCACGTACATCTAGTCATCCCCCCCACACACACACAATTAACTAATATACCATGGCTAAAGCTTCCATGATATCACTAGTGAAACTATCTGTCAACAGGTTTGGAAAAATTACATCAACAAAAGCTATCATAGATCAAACTACCAACAAATGTAAAGGTAATTTTTACATTTCACAGTTGGGGGGTGTATGGGGTGGGCAGGTTGTAACACTTCCTGTTATAGGGGCCTGAGTAACTTTGAACAAGCCCTTACACTGGACGCTAGTTTTAGTTAGACCATTAATTAGCAAGTTTTAATAACCTACAGCTTCATTGGTTGCTGCTGCTTGCCATGAATATGCAAAAGTCAGTTGTCACTTGTTACATTGACAGCTGATGGTTCAAGTTATTTTCTGGTTAGTGGTTCAATGAGCTTGGTTGATAGCAGCTTGTGCCCTATACAGCCATCTGTCTAGGGGGAGAGGCATGACAAGCTTGGATCTGTCTGCTTACTTGAGCTCTAGCCATCAGGTTACTTGAGCTCTAGCCATTAGGTTACTTGAGCTCTAGCCATTAGGTTACTTGAGCTCTAGCCATTAGGTTACTTGAGCTCTAGCCATCAGGTTACTTGAGCTCTAGCCATCAGGTTACTTGAGCTCTAGCCACCAGGTTACTTGAGCTCAGCCATCAGGTTACTTGAGCTCCTGCTGTAGCTGAGGTTGTTGTGTGTTCACAGGTTATGGTTTTGTAGACTTTGAGAATCCCCAGGCAGCAGAGCTGGCAGTTCAGGCTCTACAGAACCAAGGCATACAAGCACAGATGGCCAAAGTAAGTCTTTTCAATAGTTTATCTCTCATTTCATTATCTCTTTTAAAAGTTAATTTGTTCTGTGTTGTGATCTAGTTCTATTTGTAGTGTGTTGTGATCTAGTTATATTTGTAGTGTGTTGTGATCTAGTTATATTTGTAGTGTTTTAATCTAGTTATATTTGTTCTAGATCTAAGTTGTGATCTAGTTGTATTTGTTCTACTCTAGATCTAAGTTGTGATCTAGTTATATTTGTTCTACTCTAGATCAAGTTGTGATCTAGTTATATTTGTTCTACTCTAGATCAAGTTGTGATCTAGTTATATTTGTTCTACTCTAGATCAAGTTGTGATCTAGTTATATTTGTTCTACTCTAGATCAAGTTGTGATCTAGTTATATTTGTTGTAGATCTATGTTGTGTGTTGTGAAAAGTTTAACTGGCCAGCTGCTTGTCGTGTGTTGTAGTTACACGCTAGACATATAGCTACAGATTACCCTGGTACAAATACATGGGACGTGTTTTGATATCTATACGTGTGGCGTACCGTCGCCTTGTCGACCACACTATAGTCCACATAACCCATTGAATCAGTCACAGTTGGTTTTTAAAACGTGTATTGAAATTAGTACCGCGATCATTGATAAAAGGGGACGCGATCCCGCATAAACAAGATTAGATTACAGAAGAAAGGAAAGTGCATTCCATTAGTAAAATTCCCAATTGATTGAGTTGTGGCACATGAGTTCCAAACGTGTTTTGTCCTGTATGCAAACTTCGCCGTTGGCGTGTAGCGGAGCCAATAAATCTTGGCGACACTTTACAACCGCTAGGCTAGAAGAGCTACGCACGCTCAACGTAGATTGGACGTTTCGTCTTTTGTTATCTTCAAGATAATGTTCTCGGGTTTCTAAATGACCAAATCTCGAGTCAAGTATTCGTGGCATACCACCCCCGCCCTCACAGAGCTGTATTTTATTGCAGTATTGTCTGTGCTTTTAAATAGGTTTTTCATCTAACTTGCATTGAAGAAAAGAACTTTTTTTTTAAAAATCGGGCCCAAGCCTATACTGTTGTATTATATAATATAGAATTTTATAGATTATAGATAGTATGTTAAGGAAGTTCATGTTTCCCTTTGGTTTTTTTTCAACCTCTGGTAATCATATTCTATCTAAGCAACTCACCATGGCCCATTCACTAGCCCCAGGCACCGTGTTAGACTCATTGGATGCTTGCACCATTACTTAAATTTACTGAGGGATCGTCCATCAATGACTCTTTTTAAAGATGTTTACCCCAAACCCCCCACACATAACGTGCCCATTTAGTAACACAAGATTCCTTTTATCCAAATCCTGTTGCCCCTTAAAGTTCAGATCTAAGAACCCCTCCAATCACATCACCATTTGTGTTCAAAAAATTTTTTGCCCCCCCCCCTCCACTGTTACAACACCCTATCTGTCTCTTCTGTATGTGCATGATCCCTGGCTGGTAACGTACTGAAATGTGTAGTTGATTTAGTCAAGATGTTTGTAACTTGCTATCCTTGTATAAGCAATGGGGTATAGCCTTGAATGGGTGTGACCCAACTTCTCATAGAAACTGCATGTCTACTCCCACCAGCAACAAGAGCAGGACCCAACCAACTTGTACATTGCCAACTTGCCCATGTATTTCATGGAGAAAAATCTAGAGAACATGTTCAAGGAATATGGAACAGTTATCTCTACACGGATCCTCCGCAAACCAGATGGCCTGAGTAGAGGGGTAGGCTTTGCCAGAATGGAATCTAAAGAAAAATGTGACCAGATCATTAATGCATTTAACAACAAAATGTTGCCAGGTATTTGACACTTGTATGCATTTGCTACCCTAGACAAATGGGAATATTATCATTGCTGTCAAGACAATTTGAAATAGTATCAGTGCTACCTAGATAATTAGAAATATTATCATTGCTAACGTAGACAATGGACACACCAGCGAGAAAAGTCTCAAAGGTATTGAGAGGTCCATAAATCAATTTAAAAATCATGCGCGGCATAGTTACAATTAATATGGGTATAAAATCCTGCCTGTCTTAGTTTTTTTCGGACTTTACTAAAGATTGGATGTATCTGATGTTTTTAATATTTTCGGTAACTAAATAAAAATTTAAAAAGCAAAAACAATTTGGTTTTCACGTGTAATGGCGACATAAACAATGGCATCCTGCTATTCGATAGGCCGCCATAAATTTTATTGTACACATTGTAAGCTAAAAAAAGAAAAACTAGGTCATGTTTAAATTTGCATTGTTATTTAAAAACTTGATCTGCAAAGTTTTGTAAACAAAAAAACTAAAGTGGGGCTGTCAGAAATCGATCACGGAGTTCCTGTACAGCCAATCAATGTTTGTGAAACATCGGGTTATAACTTAGGCTTGATGAAAATAAATAGAAGTGTAGCCTTAAACTCAACAAATTATTTTCAAGTTCTCTAAATCTGCAACTTGTATAGCATTGATTCTAAAAATATTAAATTTCTGAATTAATTTTAGGCTTAAGTTTTTAATAAAATTTTATCTTATTATTTTTACGGTCCTAAATCTAAAAAAGCACATCTGTATTCCATATCAACATTACGGAAGGATTTTCGTCAACTCACTGGTGTCCATTGTAAATGTTATCAGTGCTACCTAGACAATTGTAAATGTTATCATTGCTACCTAGACAATTGTAAATGTTATCATTGCTACCTAGACAATTGGAAATGTTATCATTGCTACCTAGACAATTGTAAATGTTATCAGTGCTACCTAGACAATTGTAAATGTTATCAGTGCTACCTAGACAATTGTAAATGTTATCAGTGCTACCTAGACAATTGTAAATGTTATCAGTGCTATCTAGACAATTGGAAATGTTATCAGTGCTATCTAGACAATTGGAAATGTTTTTGAACTGCCGCCTGAATGAGCCCTGCTGCCTGCCTGTATCACAAAGCTTTATTTCTGCAGGTAGCACAGAGCCCTTGTTGGTCAAGTTTGCAGACAGTGGTAACAAGAAAAAGACAAGTCCAACAGCGCTCACACCTCGACTCTTCACGCCTGGCAGAGAGGATGCTGGGATTTCAGTAAGATTTTTTTAGTGGACACATTTTTCTTAACTGCTTTTGGAAATGTGAATGTCAAAGATAATTTTCAACTAACTTCACCCATATATTTTATCCTTTTTTTAGGCAATACATTTTGCATATGAACAACAATTAGCTGCAGCAGCAAACTTAAATGGGTAAGATTTTTTTTGTTTGTTATCTGTTGGTCAGCTAGTGAGATAACCTCTTCCAGTAGGTCAGCTAGTGAGCTAACCTCTTCCAGTAGGTCAGCTAGTGAGCTAACCTCTTCCAGTAGGTCAGCTAGTGAGCTAACCTCTTCCGGTAGGTCAGCTAGTGAGCTAACCTCTTCCGGTAGGCCAGCTAGTGAGCTAACCTCTTCCGGTAGGTCAGCTAGTGAGCTAACCTCTTCCAGTAGGTCAGCTAGTGAGCTAACCTCTTCTGGTAGGTCAGCTAGTGAGCTAACCTCTTCCAGTAGGTCAGCTAGTGAGCTAACCTCTTCCGGTAGGTCAGCTAGTGAGCTAACCTCTTCCGGTAGGTCAGCTAGTGAGCTAACCTCTTCCGGTAGGTCAGCTAGTGAGCTAACCTCTTCCGGTAGGTCAGCTAGTGAGCTAACCTCTTCCGGTAGGTCAGCTAGTGAGCTAACCTCTTCCGGTAGGTCAGCTAGTGAGCTAACCTCTTCCGGTAGGTCAGCTAGTGAGCTAACCTCTTCCGGTAGGTCAGCTAGTGAGCTAACCTCTTCCGGTAGGTCAGCTAGTGAGCTAACCTCTTCCGGTAGGTCAGCTAGTGAGCTAACCTCTTCCATTTTGTCCCCACAGGCAGTTTATCAACTACGGTGTTCCGACCCCTACAATAATGCCAGCAGGGTTGATGCCCCGGGGCTATACGTCAGTGGCGGCCACCAACCCTGTCACCACGTACCAGATGTCCTCCAACCCAGGCCCCACTGGATGGTTGCCCCAGTATTTGGTGCAACCCCACCAAATGCCACATGTAAGTCATTCCAAACTTGTAACACTACATAACACTTGTTCATATATTTTTTAACAGTTTGTCACAAATTTTTCATATATCCTTCATATTAACAGTGCATAAACAGTTATTAAAATTACAACATTTTCAACACAGACATATTTAGAGCATGTAAACTGATTATACATGTCATCAGGCTATGTGGATGTTACAAATAGTTCAAATACAAAAAGTAAATGTAAATGCATGATTTTAACCATATTATCATACATTATAAAGAGATGGTTAATTACCTAATTATTAACTAATTAAATCTTCAGACTGAACAATTTTACTAATAAATATTCAAGTTTTCTAATATTGATGAGCTATGTTTTATTTTACAAAGTTGTTTGATGTTGATTGCTCATAAGCCTTGGTAGTTTTTTCTAATGACGCATGGTGAAATGATCTGCTTGTTTTCTTTCATGTTGCTTTGCATGTTTTAATTCATTTTTAGTCCTATGAAACTAGACCATGACAACAGTAATTGGTTTAATTTCATTTGGCTGTTCTTCACACTTGAGTAATTGCTGTTTACTAAGTTGAGTTAAAGTGATAATTAAAGTGCCATGCTTAAGAAACTCTCCTAAATATAGCTTGCCAAATTGTTGTTACTAATTGGATTCACCTTTTGGCTGATTTAAGATTGAGTGAATTGACTGAGCCATCTTGTAGATCTATCTTGTCCCCATGTGTCATGTACAGGAAGTGTTGTCAGAAGTTTCTACACTGCTGGTGACTGCACATGATCTGACAACTTCCTGGGAATTTCCATTTGTGCTACTTGTTAAAGTCTGTTCCGCTCTAGTAAACAAGCTGTTATGATAAAATAATGTTCATTTTAAAAACAAATTTTGGGATAAAGTTGAGCCCTCCCTCATGACCCTCCTTTTCTGGACCATTCTTAGTTTTTTTTCTCTTTTTGGAATTGGGAAAGCTGAATTTTGTATGCATTTCTACTGGCCATTGTATGACTGAGTTTGATTTTCCTTTTCCCAACGTTTAGTCGAGTGAAGATGTCAGTGGTCTTGTTGATTCTGGCTTTTATTACATCCGCACTTGATCTATCTGGGCTGGTGCTGGTGCTCAGGTATGTAGCAGCGGGAGTCCTCAGTGGTCCAACACATGTCCGTGTCTTCTTTGCTGCATAACCTTTATCAATGCATGTTAAACTTGTAAAGGGAAATTAAGGAGGGGAGGGGCAGACCATATGGATTGTTAATCAGATGAATGGCAGAGGTTTTAAGAGTAGACCCAGCAAGCCATAGCATTTAGTGCTGGCATGTGTTGTGTGGATGTGTGTAGCTAACAGTGTGGTGTCTCTAATCTCCAGATCTTGCCCACCACAGTCCACCCTGAGCTGGCCGCTGCCACCATGCTGGATCCCAGTTTGCTGATGTAACACCCTGTCAGTACCTCGCAGCCTCATTGTCTACCTGCCTTCAGTGTTTGTCAGGCAGTTCTATTTGTTTGCATCCATTTCATCATCTTAGATATCAAATTTTTACTTTTCTGCCATTGTTGTTTTATGCACGAAAACTGTTCATGAAATCTGATGCAGTTTTAAGCTTTTTTCATCAAATGATTTTTAAAATGATTTTTAACATTATTGTGGACTGCTCCAACTGTTTTCTTTTATTAATTTTGGGTGTCGAGATATTTGTCTGTGAATGTAATCTAGGAAAGATATCCGACTTTTTTCTATAAATGCACTTTTATTAAAATTGCAAAACTGCTATAAATATGGAAATGTCATTTTAGAAATGACCTTTTATATTCATCAATTTATTTCTATTTATGAGATTTGTCATTTTTAAAGTAATGCGCAAAGTTCCAGTAATTTTAGACATTGTAAAACTCCGCAGCTGTGATAGACTTTTATAACAAATTTGCATATTTATTTACCCCATACGTTAATAACTTTTAAGCAATAATGGAAAATTTTATTTATTACCTTTTTAGTGTACATGTGTAGTTTTTCTACTCTTGCTACTAAGTTAGTGAATGTAGTAAAAATCTGTTTACCCTGGACAGTACATTTCAATGGTTTTCATTGCTTCAAGCCAGATGAAAAAATCAAGCCACAAATTTGTAGAGATCACTGAGTCTCCCTCTGATGTTTACATGTGTATATAGTTTATAATGCCTGTCATACATTGGGTGAAAATATTTCATTGAATGAGTAGGTGCATTGTTAGAAAGTAGACCTTGTGCATCATGTTCATATTTTTTTCCTCATATTTTTATCATTTATTTTTTGTTTTAAAAATCAAAACCTTGGAGATGTTTTATTTCTAATGCTATGCAATTTTTAGTTCAATCTTTTTAACTCTTTTTGCTAATGTTTGCAATTTTTAACTTTCCAATGCATTCACTTACTGGAGAAATGTTCCTAATAAGATCTGTGAGATTCATGTGACTTGCAACAGTTGTCTATGACTAACACTAATTAAACCAGCTCATGTTCCAACTGTTGCTGGGTGTGCATCTATTACAACTGCATTAAAATTGTCACGGCATGAGTCCCAGGTGTAAGAAAGTTTCCAGGAGATTCTGTGCCGCTGGGTTTTGCTAACCTTTGAGTTGATGTTGCTGCTGTTCTTTGCAGATGGTAACCAGCAGTACGGGTACGGGCAGTACGCTCGACCCAACATCCTTGATTCCACAACTGACCGCCCAGATGGGACAACTTCAACTGTCAACAACTTCGGTAGGCACTTAGCATGTTGCCTAGTGGTTCTTCTGTTTGAAGGCTTTACACCTGTTCTTTGGTCTTCTGTCCACTTGTAAAGCTCTTTTTTTCTCGAGTTTGTTTTTCCAGTCTAAACTTTAATTTTTTTAAATTTCAATGTCCTGCCTAACAATGTTCATCAGATGGCATGCTAGTGCATGATTTAAATGCTTGATTTTTCTACCATGGCTTGCAAGGATAGGCTCTTGAATGTGTCAGACAGGACACTGGAAATGTCCACTCGATGGCTTCAGTTGACTAGAATGATTCCTCTGTGAATGAACTACTTTCTCCTGTGATTTTCCTGTTGGCAACTCAAGACCTTTAGGTGTTTTTCTTTCTTTTGCACCTCCACATCAAACCTCCATTTGTTTTAGTCATGCATTTCCCTACAAATTGTTCTTTTAGAATCACCAGGAAAATGCCCTGTACCCCCTCCTGACTTGTGATTGTTTACTAGCTTTTAAATCTGTAAATAATTTTTTTCTTTTTAATTGCTTAACATTTAAAGATTTTTTGATTGCCGGTATTCAAGCTTTTTTTTGTCACCTACCATTTGAAAATGTTTCATATTTCAACATCAAACATACAACCAAAGAATTGTATTGAAAATCCAAATATATTTTTTCACACTGGTAAACAATAAGATGCTTTAGAAATAAATTTATCTATGTAGATTCAATGTGGTAATTATTTTTTTACTTAGGTTTTACGAAGTAACTTTTAAATTACTGAGTAATTCTTGGTGTTCTTATTTTGGTGTTTGATATACGAGTGGTACCACTGCTGATATATGTTAAAACCAGCACGTCAAGTGAATTTATGCAATGTTTTTAATGTGCCCCATGTGTACAGGTTTGAAACATCCTTGATGTATATAAACTAACTGAATGATCATCTCACTCAGTTCTCTTCTGGAACAAATTATTCTTGTTTGATTCATTTAGGTGCTGAACTCTTAAAGATATTACCTATGGTTATCTATCTGTATCTAGTATATTGTCAATACTTCAGATCTGTGTATCCCAAGCTGAAATTGTAATTATATCTAGCAATACTCTTTAGCACTAAAAGTTTGAAAATCTGTAGCACTAATCTTAAGCACTTAAAGTAATTCATCCAGCTGTAAAATTTTGTATCCTCTAAGCTGAAATGTAAAGAATCTGTAACAAAATGTAATGAATCTGTAACAATCTTCATCACTAACAGGTGTCAAAATCTTATCTGTAGCACTATTTAGTGTGGCGTGAATAAACATTACATTTTATTCACGGTCATGTAATCCTATCAAACAGCTGTTTGCAATTTGTATCCTTGCTGTCTGCATCTTGTATCCTAGCTGTCTGCAACTTGTATCATAGCTAGTGATAGGTAGAACTACCACGAGGAGTTGAATAGCTTCCATATAGCACTTATTATATCAAGTTGTCAATGTAAGAATTTACCCTGGTATATTTTTGATCAGACAATATTTGTTCTAAGACTGTTGATCAGCAACTTTATAAAAACACAAATATCAAACAAGCATTTGTACAGATATACTACTGGACATCATTCATATCATTCATATTTCTTTTGAATATCGGCGTTTCATTTTGACATGGATTTTTATCCTTTTTAAATTTTTTGTCTTTTAAAATTGTTGCTTCATTTTGTACAAATTGTCACATTCAAAATGATTGTACTTTTAAAACCATTGTACTTGAACATGCTTCATGAATAAATTGTTTTTCAATAAAAGAGGGATTGGTTTGTATATTGGAGCTAAACTTGTGTACACAGAATACCTCAGTTCCATTGACGTCAAATTGTTTTGATATGAAATTAGGTTTTGGGTCAAGAAATTAGAATAGTCATTTGCTCTGAAAACTCTAAATTTGATTTTGGCTTTTTTTAGATTGTAGGTCAGGAACTTGACTGAAACAATGACCGCTGGTAGTTTGACCACTGTTAGCTTGACTGACCGTTAGCTTGACTGACTGACCACTGTTAGCTTGACTGACTGACCACTGTTAGCTTGACTGACTGACCGTTAGCTTGACTGACTGACCATTAGCTTGACTGACTGACCACTGGTAGCTTGACTGACCACTGGTAGCTTGACTGACCGCTGGTAGCTTGACTGACCGCTGGTAGCTTGACTGACCGCTGTTAGCTTGACTGACTGACCGTTAGCTTGACTGACTGACCACTGGTAGCTTGACTGACTGCTGGTAGCTTGACTGACCACTGTTAGCTTGACTGACTGACCACTGTTAGCTTGACTGACTGACCACTGTTAGCTTGACTGACCGCTGGTAGCTTGACTGACCGCTGGTAGCTTGACTGACCACTGGTAGCTTGACTGACCACTGGTAGCTTGACTGACCACTGGTAGCTTGACTGACCGCTGGTAGCTTGACTGACCACTGTTAGCTTGACTGACTGACCACTGTTAGCTTGACTGACCGCTGGTAGCTTGACTGACCGCTGGTAGCTTGACTGACTGCTGGACAGATTGACCGCTGGTAGATGTACATATGTTGCCTTGCTGCCTGGACACAGATGTGGCAAACATTCCAGTCCTCCTGGCAGTCCCCCACCCCCCACCTCAAGAGGCTTTCACATCTGGTAACAAGAAGCAGATATTTGAGTGATCCAAATGAAGAAAACCAATGCTGGTGTGAAAGCCTCTTTGAATTTGGAACTTGTCAATTACTTTTTTGTGGTGGTGGGAATTTTTTTTTTATTCAAGATCTTGTGTCATAATTTATTTTCTCATTTTAAAGAATAATGCATAACTTGTCAAAGATCAAAGTAGTTAGTTGAAAGTGTGTTTTGGGGTCTTTTACTTATTAAAACTTACATGTCTGCCCAAGACAAAATGTTGTATGTGCATTAATGTTAATGATAGCATAAATGATAGTTTTGTCTAATGCAAATTTAGAATAAAGTATTGATATTTGAATTGAATATTAAAGGCACAATGACAAGACATTTGTATGTGGCTATACATAATGCATAATTGAGTTGATTTGAAACCTCCATGTGTGAGTGTCCACTTTTGGAAGAAAGATCTGCTTATGTTTTTGACTGTATCCATTTTAGTTTAGCATCAAGATGGAAGTGTGAATGAACAATGCAAGACATTTTGAACATTCTCTTGTACGTCAGGTTTGACTTGCAACTTCCTACTTTGTCATTGGGCTAGATGTTTATTATTACCTCTACTAATTGGTCTAGTTTTAACTGCTCCAATTAGAAAGACTCCAAAACTGTAGCATGAATGAAGTGTGAAAGCATTGCTTATTATGAGGGGCCATTATTCACAAGTAGCTTTTTATACACTTTTTACAAATGCTGAAAATGTTTTTCATTATCATTTCTCCCTCTCTCGCAAGTTGAGGAATTAGGAATATTCTTTCAAAAGCTTTGAGTGAAAATGTCCCATTTTTTTCTGCTCCCCTTTTCTCACCTATTTTCATTTTTTTCACTTTAGTTCTGGGTATGTGAAATGGCATGCATTTTTAGAAGACAAAAATAAACCTTTTTTTAAAATCTATACTTTGATGAGATGTTGCTTTTTATTTTGTCTTGTCAAATGTTTGTTTATTTTAGAAAAGTGATAGTATAAATAAACCTGAAACAAATTTCAAATCAATTCTTCATAAACTCTTCTTAAACTCGAATCAAAATTTAAGCAAAGGACTCCAGTAGAAAATAGAATAATGTAACCACTTGAAACTCAGTGTTGAAAATAACTTGACATCTACATATTTTAAGAATAGTTTTTGTACGAGTTTACAAGGAATAAATGACACTTGGTGGTTTCTAATTGACTAAACTAGTTGGACAAGTTTATTCTATACTTGATGTGTTACTCTATTTGTGCATGTGTATGAAATGTTTAATAGCTCCTCAGGTACAAGGGATTTTCTCATTTAAAAAAAAAAATTCTTTAGAGATGAATTTTACTTGTTCTTTGGGATAAAATATACAAGATCTATAGCAAATTGTTAAAGGCATTAGTATCAATTTTTATATTTTTAAAAATATACTATAAAATGTATCTGAATTTTGTAATGAAATGTTTTAATAGTTTGAATCTTTAAATTTGTAATCCAGACATAATCTGAGATTTTCAGATCTAGTAATGACATTTAAACTAGGTTACAATGAGATGTTTGGAAAGATGTGGAACATCTTGATCTACTCTTTTTCTTTGCCTGAAACTTGTCATGCTTGGGGTTTGGTAGTGTTTGCAAAAAAATGTTCAGGAAAATGAATCCCACAATGTTCATTTTTTAAAACCAAAACTTCTTGTAAACCTTTGGAAGTTCCTAAAATATTCAGGGGCATAAAATAAGTTATAAGAAGCAGCAGGCTTTCTGTTTAATAGAACATAACAAGTAATGGCCTTTCTGCTAATAAATTTTGTGTTTGTAAAATGTTGAGGGGCATGAAAAAGAGCAATGTTAGAAGGAATGGCTTTTCTGTTTAAAAATTTCAAGTATTTGAAAACTATTGATTTCTTTGAGCTCAAGTTGAAAATGTTGATGAACTTTGAGCCATCTCTTCATTTCAGTACTTGCCTGGTCACTATACACAGGTCTATCAAGCCAGTCCTCAGGCAGCCATGCTCCAGCCATTAACTTTACCTATAGAAGTAAGTCTACACCTAACTGAGATGTTGTTCAGATAAGCCCCGCCAAAATGTTTACCCCCCCCCCCCCCCCCACCCCACCACCCAAAAAAAAAGATTGTAAAAAATAGGATGTTATGAAACTTGTACTTTTAGTTTTTAGCCTGACCTGGACCATAATCCTAACTCTATCCTAACTCTCTCCTAACTCTATCCTAACTTTGATTCTAGAGGCAGGTAAAGCGTTGTTTTATGGAGTACTTTTAAATATTCAAATGTCTGGACATCAGGAATAGGTCGAGGTTGCGTGGATACATAAATTGGAGCTTGCAAAAAGTGGCGGGGCTTAACTTTTTACATTAGGGGTCATCCATAAATGACGTCACGCTTTTTTGACGATTTTTACCTCCCCCCCTCCCCTCCGTCACACGTCGTCACAAAAAGTCAGACCCCCCCCCCTAAAATGACGTCACACCTAAACCTACAACCCCCTCAAAATTGCAGTTGAATTTTTTTAAAACATCGATATTTTTCCAAAATCTTGTCTAAACTATTACAATTTATTAAAACAGTTATCTAAAACGCGAAATAACGTCTAAAATTCGTTTTCTAACATTGCTTTTTTATAATGCAAAAATGTGACGTCGCAACATCTGAACCCCCCTCCCCCTCATCACACATCGTCACAAAATTACGGACCCCCCCTCCCCCCTACGAGTGTGACGTCATTTATGGATGACCCCTTAGTGACAGGGCTTAACTGGACAAGATTCCCTAACCCTATTTCATTGTATTGGTCATTTATGAGAAAAAAAACCTTAGGAACATTCAGCTATTCTTTTTTGTAAACATAATTTCTAAGTATCCATTTTTCAACATTTCAGTTTTAGCTAAAGATCTAGATTTTCAAACACTTTATTTATTTGTTACAAGTGTATAATAAAAACGTTGCAATAACAAGCAAAAAATAGAAATAAATTTTCTTGAGCTATAAAAATAAAAGCAACAGTTGCTCTAGTTGTTTTAATGCTGTCTTTAATTTTTAATTTAATATCTAATTAGATTGTAAATGTGCATTTTGCATTAGTCATCTAACAAGCACTTATCTCAAAAATTGAAGGAAATAGAGGCTTACTTTTTTGGAGCACAACCAGACAGACAGACTGTCAGACAAGCAGACATTTTCACTTCAGACAAAAGTTTATAGAAAATAACATCGAATAAAAAAAAATAAAAAAATATTTAAATGAATTTTTTCTTTAAACATTATTGATTTTGTTTCCTCAACAGGATCATCACACTTTAGTAGATGATAGATCACATCATCATTTTACAGCTTACACTTCAGTGCCTAAATAAAACTGTTCTACACTAGTCTAGATTCCCGTTTTATTTCTTATGGTGAGTCCTTTTTTTTTTGCTGGCTACTTTTTATTTATCTATAATGAGGTAGTATTTTATTGCTGGATAGCTAATTTTCTTATGGTGAGTCATTGATTTCTCTTTATAATAACTGCAGTATTGTAAACACTTTGATTACATTTTTAATGGCAGATTTGGTTTCCTTAAGACTTTACTTATCTTAAAAAATATGATAAATTATATTCTTGATAAGCAAAATAAGAACACATTGCAGTGACAAGAAATAAAAAATATTGTTTCATTTTCAGAATTCCAGATTTTTCCATTTATTTTGGCTGCCTATGATCTTGTGCAGAAACGATCAGTGACTTATGTACTGACTGCAGTCATGCATGCACATTAGTGATTCAGGCTGTTTTCATTGGATGCAGTTTTTGTGCATCAGTTGTGTGTTCATGCTGCAATATTGAGTTAAATATGCAAGAAACTTTTTTGTTGCAGATGTTTTTAAATTAGAAAAATCAGCAAATCAGTCATAAATTTTCAACTGAAAATAGTGTTCTTTAAGTATGTGTCATTATTTACTGAGCATTTTCATTTTTTGCATTCCGAGATCTCTAAAGTTTTATAACCCAAGAACTGGTTCAAGCACAGGGCTATGTTTGTGTAGCAGAATGTTTTTAATGGTTTTTTAAAATTGTGTTCCTATTAAAAATTATAAGATTCTCATAGAACACTGCTAGTAAAATGACATTTTATTTTCTAAAGTATTTAGTCTCATTTTTATTTATTTTCTTTACATTAAAATAATTTGATAATATTTCAATCAACTTAATATTAGATTAGTACAAGCAATGCATCAGGAACCAGTTTTGTTTAAAAATAATTTGTTTCTACAGAAACTGATGTCCTATCATAAAATATTTTTTCACTATACAAACAGTAATATTTGAACATTCTTGATTGAACCAAGTGCCTTTTAGAGTTTTAGATTGATTTTAATGTAAATATTTTATACATCATTTCTATTGTTTTATTGCCTTTTTAAAAGCTTTGCTTTTTTAGATTTACCAGTGGGAATATTACAAACTAAAACGGAGTTATGCTTTTAGTTGAGTGTAAAAAGCTGAACAGTTGTTAGATGTACATATTAGACTTAGTAAATGTAGTTACGTCCAAATATATTGTTGTGGTCATTTTTTGTCTGGTGATATTTTGTATTTCCATTGGCAATATACTGTTTCTGCAGCATACCTCTAGCTGACTGCAGCATATCTCTAGAAACTGCAGCATATCTGTAGTCTCTAGCTGAAGACTAGAGTATTTTCACTATTCATCTCTTGTTCAATGATTGCCTTAATTAAATTCAGTTAAATATTGTTTTAAAGATTTGCCTAAAATTCTTAGATTTTTATCAATTATTTCTATTGTTTGCTGATTTTATAAGAAAATAAGAAAAAAGTTGTGTCTGGCTTTGAAAACTTAAGTCAAGCATATCTTTAGTCTACATTTGCACATGCCACTGACCTGTAGGGACAGACCCTGCTCGATGCCCATTTGTTCTTTTTAGTAATTTCTTTCGACTAAAAAGAATTAACACTTGTCATCAATATTGGGCATTGGTTTAAAAACTGGCTTAAGAGAGAAAACAAAAACCACTCACAGTTTTATTCATGGCTTTAATGTCAGACTTTGGCCAGGACATTGCTGCCATTAGCTAGAGGTTGTAATTATCATTCTCATCATTTCTAAACACTGAACACCAGCTTATTATGGAAAAGTACAATGGCAGAACCAAAACTTCCTAACAAAAGCACCTTAGTACAGTGGTGTAGGCAGGGGGGGGGGGGTGGTAGGGGTATAAAACCGCACTTTTCAATCTATTAGGTAATTAAATTTATTAGGTGGACCCCTCTGTAAAAATATCTTTATTGTCATTATATATATATATATATATATATATATATATATATATATATATATATATATATATATATATATATATATATATATATATATAATATCTGAAAAAATTGAATCCCCCTCCCATGAGACAATCCTGGCTATGCCACTGCCTTAGGGGCATCTATGAGTCAGTTTGTTGAACATTAAATTCTACATAAATTCTACTTAAATTACTTTTTTCATCCATCATTGTGATGCTTCATAACTTTTTGTCTTTTGTTTTCTAATAAAGCTTTCTTTTAATTAGGTTTTTTTTTTTAAAGTTTTGTTGCTCACTTTAAGAAATACCTCCATTTTGTGATATTTCTCTTACATTGAGATCAACTTTTTTGTCACACTACCTGATGTAGCGCATAATTTTTTAAACATTAGAATTTAACATCCAGGATTGTATATTTGAACAAAAATATCACGCTAGAGAATGCATCAATTGTAATCAGTAAAAACAGGATCAACACAATTTGACTAGACAAAAGCATGGCTTTATAATAATAAGTAACTTGTTTACATTGCTGGAAAAAATGGCTACTTAAAGTTTTGGATTTATTGGCTCTGATGTGTAGTTTATACCTTAAAAATGCAACATCTTTTTGAATAGTTTTTTTTAAAGTCAAATTCTCCTTCCAACATAATTTTAAAAAATTTAAACTATGACTATAGTTATAAATTGGTCAACTAGTGGTAACCGTGCTAGTATTCTCCATTTTATTGCAATCGTTCAATATGTGTTGACCTTAAGCAAAAAAACTGAAGACATTTTTTTCATTCAAATGAGTTCTAAAAATATCATTATTGCCTGTATTTTTATACATTATCAATCAGATGAAAGATGATGTTTATTAAATGTTTTGTTTGCACTTGTACATAATGATTTTGATAGACAGAATTTTTTTTATTTCTACAAGCATGTGTCTGGTTGATTCTCAGTATTTTTTATTTGCATAAATTTAAAAGGTTTTTAAATTTATTAATGCTGTGTCTCATTGAAGTGTACAATCATCTACTACTAATCAAGATTGATTTTGTAAAGGCTTAAAGGAAGGTTGTGTAAGAAGGCAGGAACATTTTGCAATGTTTTCATTAGTTTCAATTTGTTCTATTTTATTGGCCCTTACATTTTCTTCCTCAATTTTATGAGGCCGTATTTCCATTCACGTCCATATTTAAGTAATAAGTAAAATATACTAGAAAAAAATAATTAAAATATACAAATACTTGAGAGCAAATAAGTAAGCCCAGTTTTGTGTAGTACAAACCTTGTCAGTCCATGATGCTACACCTTGCAGTTTGAGCTACAAGTTCCTTAGTGATACCTTATAATAATAATAATTTAAAATGAAACTCGCCAACTTATTTTTTTATAAAGCAATATATTTTTCTAAGTGCCTAGTTAAGTGCCATGTCATTGTCTTATGTACAAATATTTTATAAATGTCTTCTGAAAACGTTTGCAAACTAAAATATTACTTTACGCGTGTCTGTTTTTTATGCAGTTTAAATTAGAAATATAGAATAATTCCCAAAACTTAGTCCAAATTTAATTTGGCTCTAAATAGCGGCCAACTTTTTAGCATTCCAATTGAAAGAAAAAATTGAGTGCTGCTTGTAAGCCCTGCTATAGCTGTGTGCTTTTATCAAAATAATTTTTTAAGGAACTATCACAGGGAGAAATATTTGTACACTCCATTTGCATCTCCTTTTGTAGTCTACTGACTGGACTGATGTACACATGTACCAGTCCACTGACTGGTGTACACATGTACCAGTCCACTGACTGGACTGATGTACACATGTACCAGTCCACTGACTGGTGTACACATGTACCAGTCCACTGACTGGTGTACACATGTACCAGTCCACTGACTGGTGTACACATGTACCAGTCCACTGACTGGTGTACACATGTACCAGTCCACTGACTGGTGTACACATGTACCAGTCCACTGACTGGTGTACACATGTACCAGTCCACTGACTTATGTACACATGTACCAGTCCACTGACTGATGTACACATGTACCAGTCCACTGACTGATGTACACATGTACCAGTCCACTGACTGATGTACACACGTACCAGTCCACTGTCTAGTGTACACATGTACCAGTCCACTGACTTATGTACACATGTACCAGTCCACTGACTGGTGTACACATGTACCAGTCCACTGACTGATGTACACATGTACCAGTCCACTGACTGATGTACACACGTACCAGTCCACTGACTGATGTACACACGTACCAGTCCACTGTCTAGTGTACACATGTACCAGTCCACTGTCTAGTGTACACATGTACCAGTCCACTGACTTGTGTACACATGTACCAGTCCACTGACTGGTGTACACATGTACCAGTCCACTGACTGATGTACACATGTACCAGTCCACTGACTGATGTACACAAATGTCTTGCTCCTGTTGTACTTCCTGCTACCTGTCTCATAAGGTGCCTGGGTGTTCTTTCATTGGTTTTGTGAGCATCAATTTTTGCATTGTTTTTTTTTAAATTAAAACTTTTTTATGGCAAAATTTCTTTTCCCTCAAATAAATGTTTTGAAACTTCATAGTTTACTTGTGATTGTAAGAATGCCCAAATGAAAATAAACATTGTAAGCCATAAAAAAATAGCCTCCATGATGACCATTGAAAAGAGCTAGAAGATCATCAGACACAAGGATCTGAATCTGTGGATAGAAAATAATAGTCTTTCACCTGTGATTCAAGGGATCAAAAGCTAGGGATTATTTGTAGGTCATCATACTAGAGTCAAATATTTTTTGTTTTATGCTGTAGTGAGCAATATGGTGGCTTCACATAGCTACCACAAGGTTTTAAGCATGTCTTTAGACTGAACAAAAAAAGAAAACATAACAAAAAAGGAATGTGACCTTTCAGAATGTATTTACATATTTGTTTTTAATATACACAGTCCTACCTATACTTAGAATATACACACAAACTGCCTATTTTAAAATGTATGAAAAATAAAAAACTTAAGACAAAAGAAAAAACAAAACAAAAATACACTTATATTAAAGTCACAGACAATTTAATGTTCCTTACTCCAAGTGACAACACACAGTACCCACACATCCATGTCACCACACACAGTACCCACACATCCATGTCACCACACACAGTACACACACATCCATGTCACCACACACAGTACCTACACATCCAGTCAACACACAGTACACACACATCCAGTCAACACACAGTACACACACATCCAGTCAACACACAGTACACACACATCCAGTCAACACACAGTACACACACATCCAGTCAACACACATCCTAGTGACAACACACAGTACCCACACATCCATGTCACCACACAGTACCCACACATCCATGTCACCAAACACATGAACAGCTAAAATCAGCCATATGTTTCAAGTGTTGCCACATGGATGCCGCACTACTCCCTCTTACATTGCCAGAACAAAACTTAATCCCAAAAACTTAACTACTCCCTCTTACATTGCCAGAACAAAACTTAATCCCAAAAACTTAACTACTCCCTCTTACATTGCCAAAACAAAACTTAATCCCAAAAACTTAACTACTCCCTCTAACATTGCCAGAACAAAACTTAATCCCAAAAACTTAACTACTCCCTCTAACATTGCCAGAACAAAACTTAATCCCAAAAACTTAACTACTCCCTCTAACATTGCCAGAACAAAACTTAATCCCAAAAACTTACTCTGACAAGCTTCAAATGATTATGCTGATTATATTAATATAATAACACGATTGAATGGACGGACTCAAATATAATTTATTTAATTAGTTTAGGACTGACATGTCAAAAATGGACGGACAGTAGAATTAGCTATCAGCTACCAAATTAACTCATTTGAAAACAAAAGGCAGGAAAAGCTAAAAATAAGATTCAAAAAACATCTTTTGAAAGCTTTCAGTTAAAAATATTTAGACACACACAAATTTTAAATACTTTAAAACAAAATAAAATCATTTATCAACAGTAAACATTTTGAATGTGACATTTTATTACAAATAATTTAAAACATTGGAATGTTACTGCTGTAAAATTGGACGGGTAATCAAAATGAATATTAGCTATAAAAAATACTATTTTATAAGCTGTAAAAAATACAACATAAATAAAAGATTAAGGCTAAATTTTCTGTTTTTTAACAGAATGGAATGTCTTGGACGGAAAATAAAAAAAAATTAAACAAATGGTGATATTTTTGGTTTGACTGACCAAAGCTTAAATTGTAAAAAGATAGTTAATCCTAATTAAAATAATTTTACATAGACTGATCAAGTTTTCAATTCTAAAAAAGATAGTTAATCCTAATTAAAATAATTTTAATTAGACTGATCAAGTTTTCAATTCTAAAAAAGATAGTTAATCCTAATTAAAATAATTTTAATTAGACTGATCAAGTTTTCAATTCTAAAAAAGATAGTTAAACCTAATTAAAAGGAATGCTTTAAAGTGAAGGTTATAAATAAAATTGTACATATTGACAAGTGATTGCACCAGTGACTTTGTACACAAGTAATACTGTAGTTTTGACCATCTATGGATACAATGTATTTTACAGCAAACAGTTTTTGATGATTTGTTCACACTCCATTTGTTTCCTCTATGGAGCCACATTTTTTTCTCTATACAAATATCCTTGAAAAGTTCAAGTTTTTGTAAGATAAAAGATGACAATTTACTAGATTAACATGTGACTCAATGAGATATTCTATTTGCTAAAGTTTAAAATGTGTAAAAATGTTGCACATTAACAATACTCATGAACAAAAAATTGACATGAAAAGATGACCATCCTCAAGTAAAGATGCTTAGAATAAATACAATATTAAATAGGTTATCTGACAAAGAAATATATGTTACACAATATTATAGATCAATTTTAACATTGAGGTTTTTAAAAAAACATGACTATAACAAAAATATTTAACATGAATAGGCCTACTAAAAAAAAAACAATAGCAGACTCAGAAATTTGCTTCTGAGCCCCATGACAAGTTGTTATTAAACCTTGCTGTGTGTTTCAAGTTTGTGGATGGACCAAGATATTAAACCTTGCTATGTGTTTGTGGATGTACTAAGTACTCAATGCTAAGCATTGAACAAGTTACACCAGCAACCTTGTACAGCTTAGTTCTTTTGGTTACAGTCAATTGTATAAGTAATGCCCAGCTTGCTTCAAATAATTACTTTTAAATGAATACTAGAAAAATAGAATCTACTTAATATATCACAGAAATATACAGAACTCCAGGTTTACACTTAGAATATGATAAGTTGTGGGTAAACAGGACACAAAATGTCCAGCTGGTGCACAAAATGTCCAGCCAGACACAAAATGTCCAGCCAGGCACAAAATGTCCAGCCAGGCACAAAATGCAATATTTTCTCCTCTGGACTGTTTAAACTGGCTTGGTGTAAACAGTTACACACCTAGTTTTAGCCTGACCAAACACACTTGGACATTACAATATTGTCCAGGTTCAAAAGATCAATTTCTTGTATAATACAAATTTCTTGTATAATATACATTTCTTGTGTAATACAAATCTATTGTATAATACAAATCTATTGTATAATACAAATCTATTGTATAATACAAATCTATTGTATAATACTAATCTATTGTATAATACAAATCTATTGTATAATACAAATCTATTGTATAATACCATCTTATAACTGAAGGAACAGGAAGAGTAGGATCCCAACCTAGCTTTATGATTGTCTCTTGTTTCGTCATTTATTTCATTACTTCTCAATAAATGTTCAAACAAACGACTACATGAATATAAAGACTGCAAACTGAAAATATACAATAGGAACTCAGCTCTATTCTTAGCTGGTTTTTAGACAACAGCTGTTGATAAAAACCTAAAATTAGCTGTTTAGATCAAATTTGATGCAGGACTGTGTTCTAGATTAGTAACATCAATCATGTTCTAAGTGTAAACCCAGTGTAACACTCAGTAGTACAAGTAAAAAGGTCAATTTTAAAACTATTTTGGATAATTATTTCACTGGTACTTTATAGTTCTGTTAAAAATGCATTTTACTTTTTATAAACATATAGAAAATTTTAAATTATATACATAATAAAATACATATGTAATAAATATGAAATGACTGCTTTAGAAAATAAAATTTTGTTGCTTTTAAATAATTATGGAATGGAGGTGACTATCACAGTTCATGTAGGTAAAATTCTTGTAAACAATCATTACATTCAATTAGTTAAAAAAAAATCATTGACTGCATAAAGCTGTACATGTCTTCTATGGGGTCCAGTAGCGTGGTAGGGAATCAACCTTGTAATATCCAGCCTCCTTTAATGCAGCTTCCAGTACTGTTTGCATATACTCATAGGTTATTCCTACTTCTTTGTAGTCAGGGTCATAAAAAGACATGACTACAAAAATAAAATAAAATGTTAAGTACATTTAAAGTACATATTTACAAAATTGTACATAATACAAGCAACCAGTGGTACAAAATGTTCTAGCAACCAATGGTACAAAATGTTCTAGCAACCAGTGGTATAAAATGTTCTAGCAACCAGTGGTATAAAATGTTCTAGCAACCAGTGGTACAAAATGTTCTAGCAACCAGTGGTACAAAATGTTCTAGCAACAAGTGGTACAAAATGTTCTAGCAACCAGTGGTACAAAATGTTCTAGCAACCAGTGGTACAAAATGTTCTAGCAACCAGTGGTACAAAATGTTCTAGCAAGCAACCAGTCGTACAAGAAGGTTGGCTTTAACTCTGGTATTTTAATTCTGAGGATGTGCAATTCAGGTTAACCTAAACAAGATAGGGGATGCAACTTCTCTTACAAACTGATTTTAGGGGATGCAACTTCTCTTACAAACTGATTTTAGGGGATGCAACTTCTCTTACAAACTGATTTTAGGGGATTCAATTTCTCTTACAAACTGATTTTAGGGGATGCAACTTCTCTTACAAACTGATTTTAGGGGATTCAACTTCTCTTACAAACTGATTTTAGGGGATGCAACTTCTCTTACAAACTGATTTTAGGGGATTCAACTTCTCTTACAAACTGATTTTAGGGGATTCAACTTCTCTTACAAACTGATTTTAGGGGATTCAACTTCTCTTACAAACTGATTTTAGGGGATTCAACTTCTCTTACAAACTGATTTTAGGGGATTCAACTTCACTTACAAACTGATTTTAGGGGATTCAACTTCTCTTACAAACTGATTTTAGGGGATTCAACTTCTCTTACAAACTGATTTTAGGGGATTCAACTTCACTTACAAACTGATTTTAGGGGATTCAACTTCTCTTACAAACTGATTTTAGGGGATTCAACTTCACTTACAAACTGATTTTAGGGGATTCAACTTCTCTTACAAACTGATTTTAGGGGATTCAACTTCTCTTACAAACTCATTTATGAAGACAAATGGTGTACAAAAGTAACAACTGATCTCACCTGGCTTGTCTGGGTCTAGGGGAGAGTCCAGCTCACCTGCCACGGAACTACGCTTCAAATACTCAGGATTTCCAAAGTTTAAGTCAATAATGTCTTTGGATCCTTGGATAAGCTAATGCAAGGAACAATAAGAGTCATTGTTTTAACCATTAATGTCCCATTCATTCTACCAAAACTCCACCCATGACGGCGCAATGTAAGGAGCATAACTCTGTATGATCAAGTGAATAGTTTCACAAAATATTTGTTTTTGTCTAAATGAAATTGCAAATTAAGATAAAAACTACTGCTTAATGTTGGGAATAAACCTGGCTTTCCAACAGTATTAAATTGAATATATTATATTCGGTAAAAGTACAGTAAAAAAATAAAAAATGTCAGAGAAAATTCAAAACAGGTCATTTTCGGTAGTCAACTTTATTTATTTTTGTCTAAACAACTATGCATCGAATTTAACAGTTAAATATCAATTTGGTTATGTTTAAGATAAATAATTCATAAAATACATGCCTAGATATGTTTAGAGGCATTATTTTATTATATTCTTAATTTTAAATCTACTAAAAAAACGACAGATGAGTCTAAAATTTCGAGATAGAAAGAAACTATTATTTTTTATCTTTCAAAAGCGCCATTGAAATTATAAGACCGGAAAAGGATGCTGAAACAATCTGACTTCCTGTTTAGTTAAAAATTAGGATTTGTAGGCCAAATTTTAATGAAACAAATTTAATTTTTCTATGCGTATTTTAAGCGGGCGGCAGCGGGCGTTACGGGACATTAACGGTGTCGGGCGGCAGCGGGCGTTACGGGACATTAATGGTTAAATAAGCTATTTCAAGACAAATAAAACAAAGTTATTTAATAAGACAATAAAAACTAACCTATTTTAAGAAACAATGAAGACATAATTTTTATAATTGCAGAGTAAAAAAAAAGGATACTGGATATTAACAAAGGTATTTTTCATGTTGTTTAATGCAATAGAGATGTGGAATTTAGGTGGATATGACCTAAAAACAACTAACCTTTTGGATTTCACTTTTTAAGTTTAGAGAGGTGCTGTTAGTGGAGAAAAGAGCTCTTTTGTATTGCTCGATGATTCTGCGATTAGGATTTGGACTAAGTGTTGGTGGTAACTGTAACGATGAAGTTAATATCTTTTATCGTAAAACAATAAGCTAATTATTTAAAAATTGTTTTGTACAAATATTTTATGCATAGCAAATTAAATTACCCCCCCCCCCCCCCCTAGTTGGAAACTGCCTCACTAACTTACAGCAATGATATTTATATACACATATCTTAAACATATACAGCGCCTGTAAGTGGAAAAACTAAAAAAAAAAACAACCCTTCCCTAGTGAGAAAATACTGCCAACATCTTCTCCTACCTGTGTGATGTATATTAACTTATGCAGTTGGTGAAGCATCTGTTGTACCGGGTCATTGATTTCTCTCAGTCGATTAGGGGATATTGTCAGCATTGCAGCACTTCCTTGATCAAACATTTCATTGATTATATAGCAAATCCTATATTTATGTATGATAGCAACCTTGTTAAAATATATCAACTTTCATATAGAGGTAAAAGTGAGAAAGAAGAACTTACTGGATCTCTTATCCAATCTGTGGGCTATACTGGCAGCAGCTACTTCATTGGTACTAATAGATCTTGAAATATTTAGTCTGCGGCCATTGAGTTGCATGTCTGTATAGTGGAGTATTGGTGTGGCATTTGGAGATGGGTCTCCTGAGCTTAGACCAGAATCACGACTTGTTTTGGCTGTTCAATTAAATAGCTCTTTATTCAAATTATACTTTAAAATTTGAGAAATACAGTTTTTAAATTTTAACCATATCTTGAACTTTTATTTGATATCCAAATAAATCAGTCAGATGTTGTTTACTATATTTTTATTTAATAAATAGGAATGTTATTTATTTGTTAGTAAATTACATTTTTTATATAAAAAGACAAATACATATCCCCCCCCCCCCCCCCCCCAAGAATCTAAAAATTTGTCTTGTATGACAATATAACAAACCTATGGCTAGTATGTCCAGTAAAATTTGTCTTGTATGACAATGTAACAAACCTATGGCTGGTATGTCCAGTAAAATTTGCCTTGTATGACAATATAACAAACCTATGGCTGGTATGTCCAGTAAAATTTGCCTTGTATGACAATATAACAAACCTATGGCTGGTATGTCCAGTAACATTTGCCTTATATGACAATATAACAAACCTATGGCTGGTATGTCCAGTAAAATTTGCCTTGTATGACAATATAACAAACCTATGGCTGGTATGTCCAGTAAAATTTGCCTTGTATGACAATATAACAAACCTATGGCTGGTATGTCCAGTAAAATTTGCCTTGTATGACAATATAACAAACCTATGGCTGGTATGTCCAGTTCCAGATTATCAGGCATCACCTGCCTCCTCCTGTTGAGCTGAGGTCTATTCAGTTTGGGCATGCAGTGCCTCTGTGAGCGCACACTCCCTGCACTACTCTCCCTGCTTTCACTGCTGCTGCTAGGGTAGCTGTCTTCATCTGGAGAAAAACATCTTTTTTTTTTAATGGACACTTCACTAAACCATGGACTGCCAGAACATCTCAAATCTAGCAGCTTTCTTTATGGTTATGTTAACTAGTTAATGAAGAGACAGTCAGCATTCTATTACTAAGGTTTACAGTGATATCTGTCAGCATTCTAGTACTAAGGTTTACAGTAATTACGGCCAGTATTCTAGTACTAAGGTTTACAGTAATACAGTCAGCATTCTAGTACTAAGGTTTACAGTGATACAGTCAGCATTCTAGTACTAATGTTTACAGTGATACAGTCAGCATTCTAGTACTAAGGTTTACAGTGATATCTGTCAGCATTCTAGTACTAAGGTTTACAGTGATATGGTCAGTATTCTAGTACTAAGGTTTACAGTGATACAGTCAGCATTCTAGTACTAAGGTTTACAGTGATATGGTCAGTATTCTAGTACTAAGGTTTACAGTAATATGGTCAGTATTCTAGTACTAAGGTTTACAGTGATACAGTCAGCATTCTAGTACTAAGGTTTACAGTGATATGGTCAGTATTCTAGTACTAATGTTTACAGTGATATGGTCAGTATTCTAGTACTAAGGTTTACAGTGATATCTGTCAGCATTCTAGTACTAAGGTTTACAGTGATATGGTCAGTATTCTAGTACTAAGGTTTACAGTGATATGGTCAGTATTCTAGTACTAATGTTTACAGTGATATGGTCAGTATTCTAGTACTAATGTTTACAGTGATATGGTCAGTATTCTAGTACTAATGTTTACAGTGATATGGTCAGTATTCTAGTACTAAGGTTTACAGTGATATCTGTCAACATTCTAGTACTAAGGTTTACAGTAATTACGGTCAACATTCTAGTACTAAGGTTTACAGTGATATCTGTCAGTATTCTAGTACTAAGGTTTACAGTGATACAGTCAGCATTCTAGTACTAATGTTTACAGTGATACAGTCAGCATTCTAGTACTAAGGTTTACAGTGATATCTGTCTACTCTTGACAGAAAGGTAGGTGAACCACGTAACAGGATATTTTATAAACATATAGTTAAAGAAGAAAAATGTTGAACTATATAATTATTGAAAACAATCATTACCAGAAATATCACCAAAATGAATGGAACTAATGGAAACTGCTACACTGGAGCCTATGCCAGCATCACTACAATCTGCATAGGAATCTTTTGTATCTGTCTGCAAAACAGGTTTGTGCATTAAATGTAATGTTCTGTAAGGTATTCACATTTTTCTCTTACTCTAGCAAACAAATGGTGTACCTTGAAACCCTCAGCACCATCACTTCCTGCTAAGTTTGTCAATTTGTCATAACTCTTACACTGACTCTAGCAAACAAATGGTGTACCTTGAAACCCTCAGCACCATCACTTCCTGCTAAGTTTGTCAATTTGTCATAACTCTTACACTGACTCTAGCAAACAAATGGTGTACCTTGAAACCCTCAGCACCATCACTTCCTGCTAAGTTTGTCAATTTGTCATAACTCTTACACTGACTCTAGCAAACAAATGGTGTACCTTGAAACCCTCAGCACCATCACTTCCTGCTAAGTTTGTCAATTTGTCATAACCTTCTTGAGATGCCAGGAACAAACGGTGATAGTTTTGCATATTTCGATTCGCCTCCAAAAAATGCCTGTAAATCCAAATAATGTATAAATTTTGATATTGAAAATAATATTGTGTCATTTTAAGAGTTCTAGTTTTTAAACAATCCACTTACTTTTGAGTTCTTTTTCTCTCCCTTTCAAGTTTCCTCTCAAGAGCAGTTTGTGATATCCTCAGCTGATCCATGTGAGTGAGTAAGATGTCCGCCAGCTGGCCACTTAGCTGTAGAATATCTGGCCTGTCCTCAGGGTTTACACACAGACAGCTGAAGCACAAGACATTCGTTCATTGTATTTTAAATTAGCTACATCTAAAGATCAGGGTTTACACACAGACAGCTGGGGCACAAGACATTCGTTCATTGTATTTTAAATTAGCTACATCTAAAGATCAGGGTTTACACACAGACAGCTGGAAGCGCAAGACATTCATTCATTGTATTTTAAATTAGCTACATCATCTAAAGATCAGGGTTTACACACAGACAGCTGGAGCACAAGACATTCGTTCATTGTATTTTAAATTAGCTACATCTAAAGATCAGGGTTTACACACAGACAGCTGGAAGCGCAAGACATTCATTCATTGTATTTTAAATTAGCTACATCTAAAGATCAGGGTTTACACACAGACAGCTGGAGCACAAGACATTCGTTCATTGTATTTTAAATTAGCTACATCTAAAGATCAGGGTTTACACACAGACAGCTGGGGCACAAGACATTCGTTCATTGTATTTTAAATTAGCTACATCTAAAGATCAGGGTTTACACACAGACAGCTGGAAGCGCAAGACATTCATTCATTGTATTTTAAATTAGCTACATCATCTAAAGATCAGGGTTTACACACAGACAGCTGGAGCACAAGACATTCGTTCATTGTATTTTAAATTAGCTACATCTAAAGATCAGGGTTTACACACAGACAGCTGGAGCACAAGACATTTGTTCATTGTATTTTAAATTAGCTACATCTAAAGATCAGGGTTTACACACAGACAGCTGGGGCACAAGACATTCGTTCATTGTATTTTAAATTAGCTACATCTAAAGATTAGGGTTTACACACAGACAGCTGGAAGCGCAAGACATTCATTCATTGTATTTTAAATTAGCTACATCATCTAAAGATCAGGGTTTACACACAGACAGCTGGAGCACAAGACATTCGTTCATTGTATTTTAAATTAGCTACATCTAAAGATCAGGGTTTACACACAGACAGCTGGAAGCGCAAGACATTCGTTCATTGTATTTTAAATTAGCTACATCTAAAGATCAGGGTTTACACACAGACAGCTGGAGCACAAGACATTCGTTCATTGTATTTTAAATTAGCTACATCTAAAGATCAGGGTTTACACACAGACAGCTGGGGCACAAGACATTCGTTCATTGTATTTTAAATTAGCTACATCTAAAGATCAGGGTTTACACACAGACAGCTGGAGCACAAGACATTCGTTCATTGTATTTTAAATTAGCTACATCTAAAGATCAGGGTTTACACACAGACAGCTGGGGCACAAGACATTCGTTCATTGTATTTTAAATTAGCTACATCTAAAGATCAGGGTTTACACACAGACAGCTGGGGCACAAGACATTCGTTCATTGTATTTTAAATTAGCTACATCTAAAGATCAGGGTTTACACACAGACAGCTAGAAGCCCAAGACATTCGTTCATTGTATTTTAAATTAGCTACATCTAAAGATCAGGGTTTACACACAGACAGCTGGGGCACAAGACATTCGTTCATTGTATTTTAAATTAGCTACATCTAAAGATCAGGGTTTACACACAGACAGCTGGGGCACAAGACATTCGTTCATTGTATTTTAAATTAGCTACATCTAAAGATCAGGGTTTACACACAGACAGCTGGAGCACAAGACATTCGTTCATTGTATTTTAAATTAGCTACATCTAAAGATCAGGGTTTACACACAGACAGCTGGAGCACAAGACATTCGTTCATTGTATTTTAAATTAGCTACATCTAAAGATCAGGGTTTACACACACTAGAAGCGCAAGACATTCGTTCATTGTATTTTAAATTAGCTGCATCTAAAGATCAGGGTTTACACACAGACAGCTGGAGCACAAGACATTCATTCATTGTATTTTAAATTAGCTACATCTAAAGATCAGGGTTTACACACAGACAGCTGGGGCACAAGACATTCGTTCATTGTATTTTAAATTAGCTACATCTAAAGATCAGGGTTTACACACACTAGAAGCGCAAGACATTCGTTCATTGTATTTTAAATTAGCTACATCTAAAGATCAGGGTTTACACACAGACAGCTGGAGCACAAGACATTCGTTCATTGTATTTTAAATTAGCTACATCTAAAGATCAGGGTTTACACACACTAGAAGCGCAAGACATTCGTTCATTGTATTTTAAATTAGCTACATCTAAAGATCAGGGTTTACACACAGACAGCTGGGGCACAAGACATTCGTTCATTGTATTTTAAATTAGCTACATCTAAAGATCAGGGTTTACACACAGACAGCTGGAAGCGCAAGACATTCATTCATTGTATTTTAAATTAGCTACATCTAAAGATCAGGGTTTACACACAGAAAGCTGGAGCACAAGACATTCGTTCATTGTATTTTAAATTAGCTACATCTAAAGATCAGGGTTTACACACAGACAGCTGGGGCACAAGACATTCGTTCATTGTATTTTAAATTAGCTACATCTAAAGATCAGGGTTTACACACAGACAGCTGGAGCACAAGACATTCGTTCATTGTATTTTAAATTAGCTACATCTAAAGATCAGGGTTTACACACAGACAGCTGGAGCACAAGACATTCGTTCATTGTATTTTAAATTAGCTACATCTAAAGATCAGGGTTTACACACACTAGAAGCGCAAGACATTCGTTCATTGTATTTTAAATTAGCTGCATCTAAAGATCAGGGTTTACACACAGACAGCTGGAGCACAAGACATTCATTCATTGTATTTTAAATTAGCTACATCTAAAGATCAGGGTTTACACACAGACAGCTGGGGCACAAGACATTCGTTCATTGTATTTTAAATTAGCTACATCTAAAGATCAGGGTTTACACACACTAGAAGCGCAAGACATTCGTTCATTGTATTTTAAATTAGCTGCATCTAAAGATCAGGGTTTACACACAGACAGCTGGGGCACAAGACATTCGTTCATTGTATTTTAAATTAGCTACATCTAAAGATCAGGGTTTACACACAGACAGCTGGAGCACAAGACATTCGTTCATTGTATTTTAAATTAGCTACACTGAAGATCAGGGTTTACACACACTAGAAGCGCAAGACATTCGTTCATTGTATTTTAAATTAGCTACATCTAAAGATCAGGGTTTACACACAGACAGCTGGGGCACAAGACATTCGTTCATTGTATTTTAAATTAGCTACATCTACAGATCAGGGTTTACACACACTAGAAGCGCAAGACATTCATTCATTGTATTTTAAATTAGCTACATCTAAAGATCAGGGTTTACACACAGACAGCTGGGGCACAAGACATTCGTTCATTGTATTTTAAATTAGCTACATCTAAAGATCAGGGTTTACACACAGACAGCTGGGGCACAAGACATTCGTTCATTGTATTTTAAATTAGCTACATCTAAAGATCAGGGTTTACACACAGACAGCTGGAAGCGCAAGACATTCATTCATTGTATTTTAAATTAGCTACATCTAAAGATCAGGGTTTACACACAGACAGCTGGGGCACAAGACATTTGTTCATTGTATTTTAAATTAGCTACATCTAAAGATCAGGGTTTACACACACTAGAAGCGCAAGACATTTGTTCATTGTATTTTAAATTAGCTACATCTAAAGATCAGGGTTTACACACACTAGAAGTGCAAGACATTCGTTCATTGTAGTTTAAATTAGCTACATGTAAAGACAGCACCAGAGATATCTCTCTTATTTGAAACTAAGTGCACCAAAGTCTGCATATTTGAAGGGAAACTGGAGGTGACATTGTAACTAATTAATTAGTCAAAACTCAATCATTGTTTTCAACAACTTTCCTAGTCTCATGAAAGAGTAATTGATATCACTATTTACAGAGGGGTATGTGTTCATAAAAGTACAACCTATTGAGTTTAAAAAATCTAAATATTTTTAACCTTAAGTATAATTTACCTTTTTATAGTCTGTAACAATCTTGGTGAATATTCCTTTTCTGGAATAGGCTTGTAATCAGCAGCTACAATCTGAGTGGTAAATATATTATTTTATATTCATGTAGAAGCTGACCAATATTTCTTTGTTTTTTAAAACAAATCGTTGCAGTAATTTATACAAGCTTTTACTTTGTTCACATGTTTGCTTTTTGTGAGTTTGTGGCAAATCTTGTAATTCAATTTTGACCCACTTCTAATGAAGCGATTTCGTTCAAACTTTCTAGATACCTTCTTCTTCTGTGTCAATGATTAGCATTGATTTTTTTATCTAACAATATATTGGCAATTAGTCATTAGATTTTAATTTTAAAAATGTCTAAATTGAGTAACATATTTCAAGTGCTGATTTAATCAGCCAGTTTACAACAGTCACAGCTGGTTGATTTCTAGTCTACGTGTAGACCTATTTAAGGGACAGATAACTATTTCAGGGAATACAAGCTACTGGTCAGGTTTTAACGCAAATATGTTTAGACGTAGCCTACATAATGTCACCTTCATAGAGAACATATGACTAGAAAGTGAAAAATAAAACAAATATAAAAACCTTTAAAATAACTAGCTTTTAAATGCACTGAAAATTGAAATAATTTATTTTCTTTAATAAAATCTTTGCTCACTTAACTATGTAAGAGATCTCATGAGCATTAAAGAAAGCAAGTTAGTTTTATTTTCAGTGTATTTAAAAGCTTGTTTTTATAAAAGTTTTTATATTTGTTTTATAAAAAGCATGACTCCGCTAAACACAATAATTTCTCAGTTATGATGGATCAATATCAAATGACTCTGAATGAAAACTTTGTGTATGAAAATAGAAAGTTGTCTACCTTATTGACCAATGTAAGCATGTTGGTACTGTTAAATGGTGGCTCTAATGCACACATTTGGTATAGAATACATCCAAGGGCCCAAATGTCAGCTTTTTCTCCATATGCCATGTTTTGTACTACCTCAGGGCTTGAAAAAATATTTCAAACAGATTTTGTAAGTAAAATATACCAACATCATTTCAATCAGATTTTGTAAGTAAGATATACCAATATTATTTCAACCAGATTTTGTAAGTAAAATATATCACTATAATTTCAAATAGATTTTGTAAGTGAAACAGTTCAACACAAAAAATAGTGAGTGAAGAATTTTACCATGAGTAAAGGATGGTGCCTACAACAGATGTCATCTTGCTACATTCACTTCTCTTTTGCTTGGCTAAACCAAAGTCAGCTAGACAAGTAGATATTTTATACACGTTAGAGAGATAGACAGGTCCTTTTTTATATCTAAACCAAACTAAAGAGAAAATGAAGAGACAACTATTATGTACATACTTATAGTAACTTTGTCATTTTCTCCTAACATAATATTGCTTGGTGTGAGATCCCTGTGTACAATTCCTTTCTCTTTGTGCAGATAACGTAATGCTAAAATAAGCTGTAAAGATTGTAAAACTTTTAATACTTGAATACACTGAATTTTATTGTATAGATAATGTAATGCTAAAATAAGCTGTAATAATTGTAAAACTTTTAATACTTGAATACACTGAATTGTATTGTGTTAATGACTGTAAAACTTTTAATACTTGAATACACTGAATTTTATTGTGTTAATGATTGTAAAACTTTTAATACTTGAATACACTGAATTTTATTGGAAATATACAAATGTGAACAGTTATTTTTAAATAAAAAAGTTTTCTGCTAATTACATACTAACCTGCAATAAAATATTCCATATTCTGGCTTGCTGAAACTTGTCATTTTTTTCTTTCAAAGAGTTGAAGTGCTCCCCCAGATGGGCTCCTTCTATGTACTCCATCACAATGTAAAGTTTATCATCTGAAAATATAAAGGTTCCATGTAAAGTTTATCATCTGAAAATATACATCACAATGTAAAGTTTATCATCTGAAAATATACATCACAATGTAAAGTTTATCATCTGAAAATATACATCACAATGTAAAGTTTATCATCTGAAAATATACATCACAATGTAAAGTTTATCATCTGAAAATATACAGGTTCTATGTACTCCATCACAATGTAAAGTTTATCATCTGAAAATATACAGTTTTTATGTACTCCATCACAATGTAAAGTTTATCATCTGAAAATATACAGGTTCTATGTAAAGTTTATCATCTGAAAATATACAGCTTCTATGTAAAGTTTATCATCTGAAAATATACAGCTTCTATGTAAAGTTTATCATCTGAAAATATACATCACAATGTAAAGTTTATCATCTGAAAATATACATCACAATGTAAAGTTTATCATCTGAAAATATACATCACAATGTAAAGTTTATCATCTGAAAATATACAGGTTCTATGTAAAGTTTATCATCTGAAAATATACAGTTTCTATGTAAAGTTTATCATCTGAAAATATACATCACAATGTAAAGTTTATCATCTGAAAATATAGAGGTTCTATGTACTCCATCACAATGTAAAGTTTATCATCTGAAAATATACAGTTTTTATGTACTCCATCACAATGTAAAGTTTATCATCTGAAAATATACAGGTTCTATGTAAAGTTTATCATCTGAAAATATACAGCTTCTATGTAAAGTTTATCATCTGAAAATATACAGCTTCTATGTAAAGTTTATCATCTGAAAATATACAGCTTCTATGTAAAGTTTATCATCTGAAAATATACAGCTTCTATGTACTCCATCACAATGTAAAGTTTATCATCTATTGTTCTGTATTAAGTAGTTACAAAGCAATAAAATTATGAATGAAAATATTTTTGATTAGAATGTTTATTAGATAAATAAATAAGGTTCTTAATTATAATAAAAATATTTTATGATTCATTTTATTAGATTATAATTAAATTTTATTTTTCAAATGAAGGCCTATAGTGATGTCACTTAAATGAAGGCATACACACTGATTAACTTAAATGACGGCCTATAGTGATGTCACTTAAATGAAGGCCTATAGTGATGTCACTTAAATGACGGCCTATAGTGATGTCACTTAAATGAAGGCCTATAGTGATGTCACTTAAATGACGGCCTATAGTGATGCCACTTAAATGAAGGCCTATAGTGATGTCACTTAAATGAAGGCCTATAGTGATGTCACTTAAATGACGGCCTATAGTGATGCCACTTAAATGAAGGCCTATAGTGATGTCACTTAAATGAAGGCCTAGTCACTTACTCAGCTCAAAAGTTCTGTAATATCTAACAACATTAGGGTGTCTCATCTCCTCTTTCATTATCTTCAGCTCATTGGTTATTTCTCCAACACTCATCTCTTTTTCTTTTGCACTTTTTCCAAAAACCATATTTTGGAGATTTACCTATAGGTTGGTGAAAAAATTTCAATAATAAACTATTTTATACACATGAATTTTAAAGTAAAATGTCAGAAGTGAAATATACAATTACAAACCTCTTTTAGAGCAAAGAAAGATTGTCTTCCTGCTTTCTTTCTCACTTTATATACAGATCCAAAGGCTCCAGAACCAAGAAGTTCAAACACTGCATAGTCACCAATATAATAGTTTGGCTCTTTGTTTTGGTTGGTATTGCTTATATTTTCAGCTATTTCATTGACATCTTCCTTCTGCATTAAAGGTAAGACAAGACCATATATGCGTTAAACTATATATGAATAAGTGCAATGTGTTTTTCTTTATTTATGCAATATCAAAGTGAAATTTAAATTCTAAGTGACTTACTGGAAGACTGTTGATCTTATCTGCAAGTGGCATGTATGCACTGAGGTCTCTGTTATAATGACCTACATCAATAAACATTTCAAAAAGGTCTGGTGGAAAAAGCTGTTTAAAAAGTCGTCTGTTCCTCTCCATGCTAAATAAAAATCGAAGTGCTCGAAAAGCATTTTGCTGTAAAATTAAAGGGAAAAATTAGCCATAAGAACAGTTTTTTTAAGTGTTTAAAATCTAGTACATAAACCTAAACTAAAAGAGTTTGTATGTCATTACCTGTAATTTAGTTGCTCTTTTTTTCTCTTTCTCTGAAGTCCATTTCTGTGGTAATATCAAGAGACCAAGAGAGTATATGCCATTAGCTTGAACTATTTGTTGTGCATTTGTGTCATTTAAAACCAGTTCAGTCAAGGCAGCACAGCAGGCTGTAGAGACAACAGGCTGTTTTAGTCATGGCAATATATTGGTACTGGAGTAAAGCTAGGGCTCATGAAACGTTCAGAAAAAAAAAACTGGATAGATGAGTTTATCTATTGCTGAGATGGCAGCATAGAGGCAACTCTGTCATCAAAGTGATAACCAACAGTTTATACCGGCCTGACGTGAGGATATCATAAGGATATCAATCACTCAGCCACAACACACGACTTAGAGTCTTTTAAAATTACTATTATCTCTTACCTTTCTTTAAGGAAAACTGATGCTCAAAAAATTCTTCCTAAAATATAAATAAATAAATACTTTGCATTACTAAATTATACAGTTTATAGAAACAGATTAAAAAGTTTTTTTAAAAATATTTTTAGGGCTAAATGTACCGTATCAAACTTTTTTCTTATCTTGAACTAAAAGATTGTAATTAAACAACTTACATGTTCTTCATTAGATACAGTTTTCCTACTAAGACCTGCACTGAGAACAGCATGTTTGCTAGTATCAGTCCGTTCACTCACAAACTTTCTGTCACTGAAAATGTTTTAAACACATTTACAACTGAACAGGTTGTCAAGCACAACTGAACAGGTTGTCAAGCACAACTGGACAGGTTGTCAAGCACAACTGGACAGGTTGTCAAGCACAACTGAACAGGTTGTCAAGCACAACTGGACAGGTTGTCAAGCACAACTGGACAGGTTGTCAAGCACAACTGGACAGGTTGTCAAGCACAACTGGACAGGTTGTCAAGCACAACTGGACAGGTTGTCAAGCACAACTGAACAGGTTGTCAAGCACAACTGGACAGGTTGTCAAGCACAACTGAACAGGTTGTCAAGCACAACTGAACAGGTTGTGAAGCCACCCTTTGATGTTTGTTATATAGAACTAAGAAATAGTTTTATTTCATGAGCTCAACTTCAGAAAAACTTTATCCACTTTGAAAGCTTTGTTGATGATTAATTTTTTTTACAAAGGCGTATTTGTTAAATCAGGTCAAATGTTTACAAATATATGTCACACTAAACATAACATTAATGCTAGTAGTATTCCAGTCTCTATAAATTAGATAAATAACGGATTTCTGACATCTAAAAATTACATAAGCCAGATTTAGATAAATAACACATTTCTGACAACTAAAAATTACATAAACCAGTTCTAAGCTTAAAAATATCAAATTACTGCAACAGTTAGGAGTATTTAAAAACCCTAATATTGTTCTTAAATAAAACAATGAAAAACCTACTGTAAGAGAGCTAATATAAGTGGAATGCCTTAAACTAAATAAAACAATGAAAAACCTACTGTAAGAGAGCTAATATAAGTGGAATGCCTTAAACTAAATAAAACAATGAAAAACCTACTGCAAGAGAGCTAATATAAGTGGAATGCCTTAAACTAAATAAAACAATGAAAAACCTACTGTAAGAGAGCTAATATAAGTGGAATGCCTTAAACTAAATAAAACTATGAAAAACCTACTGTAAGAGAGCTAATATAAGTGGAATGCCTTAAACTAAATAAAACAATGAAAAACCTACTGTAAGAGAGCTAATATAAGTGGAATGCCTTAAACTAAATAAAACTATGAAAAACCTATTGTAAGAGAGCTAATATAAGTGGAATGCCTTAAACTAAATAAAACTCTGAAAAACCTACTGTAAGAGAGCTAATATAAGTGGAATGCCTTAAACTAAATAAAACAATGAAAAACCTACTGTAAGAGAGCTAATATAAGTGGAATGCCTTAAACTAAATAAAACTCTGAAAAACCTACTGTAAGAGAGCTAATATAAGTGGAATGCCTTAAACTAAATAAAACAATGAAAAACCTACTGTAAGAGAGCTAATATAAGTGGAATGCCTTAAACTAAATAAAACAATGAAAAACCTACTGTAAGAGAGCTAATATAAGTGGAATGCCTTAAACTAAATAAAACAATGAAAAACCTACTGTAAGAGAGCTAATATAAGTGGAATGCCTTAAACTAAATAAAACTATGAAAAACCTATTGTAAGAGAGCCAATATAAGCGGAATGCCTTAAACTAAATAAAACAATGAAAAACCTACTGTAAGAGAGCTAATATAAGTGGAATGCCTTAAACTAAATAAAACAATGAAAAACCTACTGCAAGAGAGCTAATATAAGTGGAATGCCTTAAACTAAATAAAACAATGAAAAACCTACTGTAAGAGAGCTAATATAAGTGGAATGCCTTAAACTAAATAAAACTATGAAAAACCTACTGTAAGAGAGCTAATATAAGTGGAATGCCTTAAACTAAATAAAACAATGAAAAACCTACTGTAAGAGAGCTAATATAAGTGGAATGCCTTAAACTAAATAAAACTCTGAAAAACCTACTGTAAGAGAGCTAATATAAGTGGAATGCCTTAAACTAAATAAAACAATGAAAAACCTACTGTAAGAGAGCTAATATAAGTGGAATGCCTTAAACTAAATAAAACAATGAAAAACCTACTGTAAGAGAGCTAATATAAGCGGAATGCCTTAAACTAAATAAAACAATGAAAAACCTACTGTAAGAGAGCTAATATAAGCGGAATGCCCCCAAGTTGCCTGATATCATCTCTACAGTCAGCATCTTCACACAACAAGACCAAGCACCAGACTATATGCCACAGGAGACTCACATTCTCACTATGGAGCTGACTGAAAAAGGGTCAGAGGTTGTTTTAACATCCAGACATGTTATTTTCTTAATTCATGTGCTTGTGTAAATAAATACATGTTGAGAACTACCTCAGCAGTAAAGGGACACCATCTTCTATTTTGACTTGTTCTCTTGCTTGTGAATCAGCACACAGAAGGCGGAGTAAATTGGCAGCAAGCCTACAAATAGTTATGTCAGCATGCCTTACTTTATTATCAAAGATAAACTCAACTTTTTGCAAAGAATCAGAAAAAATATTAGATCTAGAGCAAATTAAACTAAGCAACAGTTTCACAAAGAGCTCTTTTTATATGTCAATTCAAAGTTAACACTTAATGATTGTATGGAACAAACATATAAACATACTTTACAAAAATGTATAATCTACTTACTTTTTTGAAATGGTGTCATATTCTTCAATAATCCTAAGCAAAATGTGTACAGCACTTAGTTCTGTAATTTGTAACCTGGGACTTTTGCTGCGGAACAGCAATTGTTTTTATATATGTTTTCAATAAGCTACATGTTTTTAATTTTTAATTAGCTGGGATATAAAATAAATATCAGTTCAGTAAATTAGGCTAATAAATAACATTCAATCTAAAATTGTTATATTTTAGAAAAAAAAAATTTTCCCTCTCACCTTTGTGCTAAACCTATTAGTGCATACAAGGAACAGTGAAGAACTATCACATCTGTAGCTTCAAGTAAGCGCACCAAAGGCTAAAAAACATTTAGTTAGATAATCATATACATCCTTAGATTTACTGTCAAGATAGCAGCTGAAGTTATGAAAAATAAATTTCCCATACATTTCATCTATTTTAATATATTTTACTTTAGTTCAAGTATGAATTGATGATTGTGTAGAAACCTAATATAAGTAATGATTAAATAATAAATAAATTAGTTAGCCAAAATAACAAATGTGTATTACATTGGTGATAGATACTTCATTATACAAAGATGTGTAGGTTTTTATTGTAGATTTGAACTGCTTGTAATCATCCTATTTTTGTGTGTATGAAGGACCTAAATAATGTATATACAACTGTTTTTTAATGCTTTCAAATTCTCAAACCTAATTCTGTATTGCTAATATTGTATCAATGATCCAGTCAACAAGTGTGTACAATCTAATCACCAGACGTGTAGCCTGAAAAGCACATTGATAAGTCAACTCACCTTATGAGCTTCATAAACCACTAGCTTTTCAAATCTATCAACAGAGGCTGACAGCTTCTGGAAGATATCTAGCAAGTAATAACAAAATATTTTAATACTTTGATACATAGATTTAATCTTGATATCAGTCTAATACTTAAAAAGATTTAAATACAAGAAACAGATGAAGCTTTAAATCTTAACACATGGCTTTTATAAATTATTTATATATATATAGATAAGAAAAATTAACAGACACTTAAAATCTGTACGCATGGCATTTTTATCATAAGAAGAAAAATTTATTGGAGCTTAAAAGCTAAACTCATGGACATTATAAATTAGAAAAATGAAAAGGAGTTTAACATGTAAGCCTATATCTTCAAGTTTTTTACTCTGGACTACTAACTTGTAATTTCTTTGAGAATGTCAACTGAATATGGTCCATCTGTGCTATTAAAATATTCCTCTGTAACTTTGTGGAAATACTGCAAATAAATGTGGATATTTTAATTAGTTTAAAAGAAAAAAAAACTTGTCTGCCTAAAGTTGATAAAGAGTAAAACATGTCTTACTTGTGCTAAAGATTTTAGACCATCTGTTTTAAAAAATTCTTTTTGGTAAGATGGATCTCTTAAAAGTATGCGAAGGCAAATAAGAACTCTCAAAACATGTTCTGCTGATGCATAATTTAGCCATTCCCTGCAACAAAAAACACTTAATTATCAAAAGAATATGAAGACAAATTTATTATAAGTGTAATTTAAAAATCTAACAACAAAGATTTTATAAATGTTTAACCACAAATTAAGTTAAAGGATGTTGCATGCCACAGCATACATGGTAGATTTTAAACAATATTGATTTAAACATTTGTAAATATAAGCAGATTAAACTTACTGTGAACATAATCTATTTTTGGTTAATGTTAGATGTATTTCAGCAAAATAGTTATGCAATGGATGGACACTAAATAGTCTTTCTTCTTTGTACTTTAAACTGGATTTAAAAACAAAATTTCAGTTATCAATAACAAAATAAATATATTTCCTATCCTATAAATTTATTTAATGCTAAATCAAGTTTTAACAGAAAAAACCCTCTGAAATCAACTTTCCTAAAATCTTATAAATATATATATATATATATGGGTGTATGATTTGTATGTATGTATACATCAAAACCCTACAGAGTAAAATTATAATCAAAGCAGCTAGAAACTTCTGTATATTTCCTTACCTAAAATTTTCCAACTGGACAGCTTCAGCACGCTGGGACTGGACTGAACCAGATTGTGAAATGTTTGAATGAACTGGTGAATTCTTTTGCACAGAATACTTAAGGGAGGGCAGCTTGATTTGAAACAAAATGATATTCAACAAACTTATACTTACATTATTACTCATTAGTAATATACAACAAACTTATACTTACATTATTACTCATTAGTGAGTCATTCATTTAAAATAAAAAACAATATTATTTTTTGTGTAATGTTAGTTTTTGTAAAGATGTTCAAAGTTTCCAACCTGTTGTGTACTGGCTGGGGTTTTAATCAATGCTATAAGCTTGTGCAACTGTTTAGATTCTCTAGAAAAAAATGTATAAAACTTGTATACATATTCAAGACAAAAAAAATAATAGAAATAATGAAGTAAAAAATGAGTACAAATTTCATGTTTAGATATTTTATGAGGAATTTTTATGTTTATGAATAGAAGTTTATAATATGCTCAAAATGTTATCAGCTAACCAATCCTACTCTATGAAATTCTCTAACATTGTTTGGATGTGATTATTTTATTAAATTAAATTAAATTACATTTTATTTTGTTCTCTTCAGATACTAGATTTATTATTACCCCCCCCCCCCTCCCCCCAATACACACAAATAATTCCCATTGGAATTTTATTTTTTAGCTAATATTTAAAAACATACTGAGGATATTGTACTTGACCTAAAAAAATTCTTAAAAAGGGCAAAGAAGATAATGTGGTTTTTAAAAGTTTTATCTTAAGTACTTTGAATCACTTTTTGTTGACTTAAATGAAAAAAACTAATACTGTCAGTACAGAGTAACTCTTACTTAAAAGTATTTCATTACAAAAATACAGGCTTCTTAAACATATTTTATTCAATCAACTGTGACTATAGAAAGATCTGCCATGTTTTCATAAATAAGCCAATTAAAACCCAGTGGCTTAAACCTTTATGGCTGGGGTGCAGGGTTTTGTTGCAGTCATCACTTGGCTCTGGTGTTTTATCTTGCAAACTGTCAAGTCAATTACTTAACTGTGGGGTGTGGGGAGGGGGGGGGGGGCTATGTTCTGTAGATGTTAAAACAACACATTCCAACATGTCTAGACATACAAATTGCCCTAAAATAACATGTTCAGAACAAGAAGTAAAAGACAACCTCTAAATAATGTAATATCATTATACAAGTTTTTTTATCACTTAGTGTAGACCCCTGGTATTTAACATTTCTGGTTTTTTAAAATATAGACATAACATTAAATACTAGAGAACATAAACAAAATCTTCCTATTTAAACTGATTAGTTGGAAGTGCATTTTGACTGTGTTGTTTAAATGTTATTTTACTGGAACACACATAATAATTGCATAAGGAAAATAAACCAATAATTACAATGGTGCTTAACATGCTTCTTATAGATTAACACTAATGAAAGATCAGCCCACCATGAGACTAATTATATTGATTAACCCTTGTACTTAAACCACAGAGGAAAAAATCAATAATCCTTTAACAGTCACACAACATCAGTTATATAGGGTCAAGGGTAATACTTAGGATGGATTACCTTTGTTCAATGCATAATAAATCAAGAGTAAATATAATCAAAAGCTAATATTAATATTTTAAAAATTATCTTTAAAGATTCAATTAGAATGATTTATTTAGAAACAAGCAGAGAATAAATTTAACAATTATTTGTGAGGTACCAATGACATTAGTATCACCAATGATAAAAATTACTTTTAATTTTTAAAACTTTTTTAATAAATAATGTAAAAAACAATTCAAAATACAGCAAAAGTAGACTTTTTTTTTTTAAATTTAATCACAGAAAATCTATAAACCCCCCCTCCCCCACTTTAAGTATAACATTATTTATGAATGACCCATGAATATAATTGCTGTCAAGAGCAATAAAAATCTGTGCCATACTTTTAAACTGATGATAACAAGTTGAACAGATAATGTGACACTAAGATAACACTCAAAAAGTGAACCTCATGCTACTTTAGAGAGTAAGTTAAAGAAATAAAATATTAAAACATTTTTACTACATGTTTAAAAGAAAATTATTTTAAAAAAAAGACAGTCAAAAACAATCTTACTTATTTGACTCAGGTGACTTGTTTTGTTTGTCTCCTGTAGGCATGGTATGAATGGGCTGACATTTATGTCATGTCCTGAGTGAGACTATCTTACAAGCTAGTTGACATCTCAGCTACATCTTTTTCAAGTTGGATCTACCTAAAAAAGGATAGACAGAGAAATGTGACAATAGGAGATACCCCATTCCAACATGACAGCCACCAAAACAGACATGTACAGATTAAAGGTTTAATTCCACTAGATTAACCACTTGTATTTTCTAACATCTTGAAATGCTGAAAATGACATTTTAAACCTTTAAAGCAAATGTCTCATGATGAATTTCACTTCTTAACAATGTGTGTAAATGTTAGTTATAAGAAGATGAGAGAGAGAGTGTTGGCACCAAAATCCCTTTGGTTGAGAATGTAACCAAGTCAGTGGTAACAAGCAATCAATAGCTGACAGTGCTGACCTACAATTACTGTATACAAGTTACACAGCACACCATTTGTTCAATCATTGATTTCTTCATGATCAATTCATGATTTTATTTGAACTTGTTAAAAATAATACTATGTACAAATACCTAACTTTTTTTGGCAGTACATAGATTAAAATTTAGAAAGTTTATTTGATTTAAAAAATGTAAATAATTGCTAAAAGATTATAAGCTTGATATATTATGTTACTAGTTAAATAATCCTATATGATGCAGTGAAACCTGTTAAACATTCTATGGACAATGAAAGAGTGGAGCTCACTACCCACCATAGATGAAGTAGACAAGTTACAAGTAATACTTATTTTAAGAATTATTATTTTAGGAATCAATGTAATACATTTGCAAAGGCAGAGAACCGGAAAATATTTTTGCCTTTAATATATATATATTTTTTTTTTAAATCAACCCATTTTCTTTACTTTAGTAAGACAAACTTTGATTGGCTATATCATTGGTTCATGTATTTCATGTCAGTAAACCCCAATTTTTACTCACAACTTCTCCAGTAAATATTTTTAATAAACTTATACTTTTGAGAACAGCATGGCCAAATTAATTAATTAATTAATTCTGTGCTTGTTTACACTTCTCCATGTGAAAATAATTTTGAAAAAGTATTTTTGCCCTTCAACAAATGTTGTTTAGATACTAAAAATATTAAGAGCATCACATGTCTAATCTTTAGTAAAGTCCTACAAAAACCACATGATCAAGATTTTATAACCATAGCTGTTTTAGTAACAATAACAAAATGTTTAAAACTATTAAATTAGGCCTTATAGATGGTAATCATTAATGGTTTATCTAGAGAGATTTGTTTGGGGTAGTGCTGCAGACAGGTAACTTTTCCAACCTGCAACCAGGTGTTCTAATGATATATCTATCATCTCATATGTTCTATAGGCCTAATAGGGCCAAATAAAAAAATAAAGCATTGAATCAATAAGTAAAAATAGACCAACAATATAAAAATAATGTTGTTGCTCATACGTGGGGTATGAACTACGAGTAGAATCACTAGATTTTAGACAAGAATTGTAAATTAATACTATTAAAACAGTTCTGTTCTACGGAATTTCCTGCAAAACAATTAATATTACCTGCTATGTGCCATATAGGCTGTTGACTCCTATTTCAACCTGCTTTTCATTTTGGATTTGCTTACATAACCTTCATCCATCTAAGAACAAACTACAAGGCAGTAGGTGTTTTCTCTACTAGATGGGTTGCTCTTCCCAGATATTGTGTCTCATCTGCCCAAGGGTTCAAACTTGGGCCTTTTCAGTTTAGCAACAATGAGCTTTACTGACCCAACCACACCTATTACAATGACCTTGGCATATGAAGGGATAGTGTGGTCAACACTTAACCCAACTGTCTTAATTTTCCTAACTAGAGACTCAAACCAGGGATTCAAACTAAAAATATTCAAGCTGGCAGACAAAAGCTCTACCATCCGACCATGTTTTTTAAGTTACTATTGTAGAATTCAGCTCATTCTGCTAGTGTGTCTACACTATTTTATTAGACACTATATTTGTAGGACAGTGTCAGCGTTGGAGGTAGATTCTATATTCTAATTTAAATCTATCTAACTCTTAGTCTAGAGCTGCTAGAGAGGGAAGTTGAAGTTAAGTTGGATTCATAAAAAAATTGTTGTTAACAATATTAAATAGGCCTAGATATATAGACCAGACTATAATTTTTTAAATAATAATAGTAAAGCAAAGGTTTGAGTGGGGCTGTCACCATAGGCACTGACCCTAAGGAGCGCCAAACGTTAGGAAAATAATAAAAAGCTACTTTTGGGACATTTAGAGCTGCCTTATAGTCAAAGCTAAAAGAATTGACTACACTCTACTGCTTTGATTCATGACTGGTTTAAAATAATTTGACACCATAATAAATAATAAATACGGTTAATGGACAGTGACTGGTAAAAGTAAAAGGCACCCCCAACCTTTTCAGAGTCCACATTTTAATTATTGCCCGGGTCTAATTAAATTATTACCTAATAATATTATAATAAGCCTACAACTTATCACTAGTAGTTAGTAGTTACTAGTTAGTAGGCCTGTTTTCACTTAGATTAGCAATAAATAATAGTACTAATAGTAATAGAATAGTACTAGCATTATTAACCCAGTTTCTGGTGTTAGGGTCCTGGCTTGCAGCTTGTAGATTAATGTATAGGCCATAGGCCTACTGTAGATATATAAGTATATAGAATATAATATAAGTATGTTCATTTGTATACTAATACCTGACACCCCTGCCTTGACTAGCTTTACAAGCAGGAGTGTAAACTCCTGGTAGTCAGGTAGGTTCAACAAAGCTGGGAAGATCTTATATCCAAAAAAGAACAGAGAGCTGTGGTCAAAGTAATTGCCACCTAAATAGTAAATATTACTAAAAAATAAAATTAAAATAAATAAGCTATGCTCGTATGCTGGGTTAGCCTGTCGCCCCTCCTGGAAATACTAAATATTACTAGATCTAAATCTAGATCTAAATAAATAAATATTTATATTATAAAAAATAATTGTATTATATTAATGAAATGTTGCAATTGTTCACTCACCTCCACAAATTACCAGATTCTAGCTCCTTTCATCATTTAATAGGCCTATTATTTCGTATTTAATAATATTTTATTTAACAATAACAATACGAAAGTCTTATTACTTTTTATTTGATCTTTTATATACTTTACTAGATAGATCTAGATCTAGATCTACTAGATCTCTAGATTCTAGTAGCACTAGTATACAGTAACTTCTCTTCACAAGACAGCAGACAAGAATTTATATCCTACCAATCAAATTTACAGTAACATTTAGAACCCAATTTTTAACCAACCACGACAGGTTTCTTTCATTCCTGCAAGCAGTACCAATAATGCTCAATAACAACAGCTGATCGTGAATGAACTTGAATCAAATATGACGCGATCGAACAAGCATGAAGGAAAACTAATGCATTGATCTAGATCTAGACTAGAATTCTAGATCTATTAGCAGGTCGCTTCATATGTCACTCTGCTTTAGTACATATAAATGTACGCAGCAGGTTGAAATAATTTAAATGGAAACAATTTCAGAAAAAACACCAAATAAAACAAGTAGCGGAGTAGCATTAAACTAGCCGTTTCGTCCAGCTTGAGTGAAAACAGATGTTATGGATCGTGGCTTGTGTGTTTATTATTATTAAGCAATATTTAACCGGCGCTGCCCGTGTTTTGGGGAATAATAACACATTTAATTTTTTTAATTGAGTATTTTTATAACTTGATACGTCAAACAACGAATGGTGGTGGTGGTGGGGTATACCATATTTAATATTTTACGTTGAAAACGATTCTTTTTCCACTTAAATTATTCTGTTTTAATCCTAACATTTCCTCTGGCATGGAAGGGGGGGGGGGGGGAAAGCTGGGGTTGTGTTGTATTAGTACACCACAAATTAAAGACAATTACAAATACTATGGATGTTTCGACCCAAGGTCTTCGTCAGCACACAACAATGTGGTTGTGTGGTGTGCCTACCAGTGTTTCTTCCAGACTTTTTTCTCCGGGGGGGGGGGGCACTTGAAATTTTCGGAAGGGGGCGGTAGACTTTCTTCGGGGGGGGGGGGGGGGGGGCGGACACTGTTAAAAGTAGGCCTATATATTTTCTATATAAATTATATAAATTTCATTTCGTTCGGGGGGGGGGGCGGTAGATTTTTTTTCGAGGGGGGGGGGGGGGCTTTGCCTGGAAGAAACTCTGGTGCCTACTGTTACCGTAATTGAATAAATTAAATTGAATAAATTGTGGATTTATTGACCATAATTCTGGTGTCCAGAAAACAAATGCCTCTCTGAAATCTCGACGAGCAGCTACGAACAGGCCTGGCAGTGGCAACAATGCATCGGCTCCCTCAAGTCACTGCTCAGATAGAGGCAAAGCAGATGGGGAAAGTTGTTTGACTTAAGAGGGAAGACGGAGTTGTAAATTCGGTAGGCCTATAGTTTCTGCAGCAGAACTCTAGATCTACGTGATTTACAGATGTACAAAGAGTGAGAGATGATTTTCAGTCAAGAAATATTTTTTTTTAAATGTGCGAAGCAAAAATGATCGTGTATGTGATTCTGTTAATATTTTGTCTCAAAGTGAATACGAGAGCGAGAATGAACACATATTTAGTCTGGATGAAGATACGGGTGTGAATGTTGGCGATTCTGAAGTGGAATTTAATATCTCATTCTCAAGAAGAAACATTTTTAGGGTTGCCAGGTGTCCAGTTTTGAACTGGACAGTCCAGTATTTGAGCAGACTGTACAGGATAAAATAAATATAAATACTGGACAAGTATTATACTTGTCCAGTATTTATATTTCTTCTTCTGCTTTGCGGCATACCTGAGAAGGGAAGGATGGAAAGGTGTCCAGTATTTTCGGAAAAGGTATCTGGCAACCCTAAGCATTTTGGTGAGATAGCTAGAGGAGTTATGAAACATTTTAATGCATATTTTGGAAAGCTAAATATTGGCTGATATCTGTCAAGTTTCAAAATAAATGCAATTATTAATTTAAAACTTTCGTTTGCCCAACGTTTCAATTGTAGTTATTACGTCTACTTGTTCATCGGGGTCGTCCATAAATGACGTCACACTCGTAGGGGGGGGGGCGTAATTTTGTGACGGTGTGTGATGAGGGGGGGGGGATGTTCAGATGGTGCGACGTCACACTTTTGCATTACAAAAAAGCAATGTTAGAAAACGAATTTTAGGCGTTGTTTCGCGTTTTAGAAAATTGTTTAAATAATTTGGAATTGATTAAAATACTCTATTTTGACAGAGTTCAGACAAGATTTTAGAAAAATATCGATGTTTAAAAAAAAATTCAACTGCATTTTCGAGGGGGATTGTAGGCTGAAGTGTGATGTCATTTTAGGGGGGGGGGTCTGGCTTTTTGTGACGGATGGGAGGCTGAGGTTAAAAATCGTCCAAAAAAGCGTGACGTCATTTATAGATGACCCCTCCATCCCACTGACTTTCCCTATTCTCCTTTAGCCTGTCCAACCCCTGTTCCACCAATGTGATGACTTTGTGTCAGTCTACATTTTCTACCCAGCGTCTTATGTGGCTCCTACACCTCGAAACAATGAAGATTAAGATGTCATACTTTCAGGCTCTGTTGTGGCTGATTATGCAATTCTGGAGTGGCAATTTGTACCACTTATTGCCGATCAATGTTGCTGGAACCATTTGGGCAGATGACGTGCTCCATTTCCTGCCTCACCTCTTGTGCAGTGGGTATGCAAGTGTATGTCTAACCTTAAACAATATATTGTTTCGTGATAGTTTAGGATTATTCTAGACAGATAAAAGGAAAAAAGTAAGTATTTGTTGAGTGGTAAAAGTAATATCCACATTCTCACTTTAACTAGATAGCTGGCCAATGTGCAGATGTCATCACTCTTAGCCAAAGTTTGAAGTGCTCAACATAGCATATTTCAAATGTTGACCATTTGCAGACAGCATATTTCAGAAGTTGACTGGCCAATAACTGATAGTGCATAAGTACATTTGCTGACTAATGCAAGCATTGGCTGGGATGCCCTGGCCAATGTCCACTGTAGGCTACAGTGTGATGGTGTTGTAATTATCCTAGCTGGGGTTTTATTGTAATGTATTGATTACTTGTGTTTGTATAACAATGAGTCTGTTGTTAGGAGGGCAGGCACGAATGTGTGGTATGAGTGTGAGTACAAGTTTGTGTATGTGTGAATGTCAAAAAATGACTGGTGTTCAGGGGTTAATGAAAGGAAACAAAAATATGTTCAAAAAGAAATTTATTCCGTTGTATCAACATGACCACAACAATGAGAAATTCACAGGTAAACGGTTCCATGTACTGACCGGGCACATTCTCAGATTCACTGAGTTCTTCAAAGGTAACTCACTACGTTCTACAAGCTGGATTGCTCACAAGTCAACACACAACTCCACTTGAAACTTGAATGACAACTTGATGATGTTACTTATACACCCACCGCAGGCTTAAGAATGAATGTTGGCATCATTTTATAACCAAACTCTTTTTCTATGTATCTTTGGAAATGGTTGCCAGCTTTGTAATAATTATTTATTAGCATTGCGCCTGATTATCTATAAATACATGTGACATTCTAACCAACTAAAGTTAATGAGGGTAGCTCAGGTTCATCAGTATCGGGTGATTTAAAGGTGCATTTGTAAACAAAGAGCCAATATAAGAACGTGTTCCCCACACTGGATGACTGATGACCTTACAGCAGCCCAAATCACGAATGTCAAAACCAAGTTTCCTGTAACGTTCGTCTGTTTCAAACAATGTGAAGTTGGTGTGGGGGCTTTTAAACTGTGGACACAAGTAAACCAGAGCATCAAGCTACATCAAACATGTGAACTGTGACATCAAACTACAGTTGGATACATAGAACATGTGACATCAGACTACAGTTGGATACATAGAACATGTGACATCAGACTACAGTTGGATACATAGAACATGTGACATCAGACTACAGTTGGATACATAGAACATGTGACATCAAACTACAGTTGGATACATACAACATGTGACATCAAACTACAGTTGGATACATACAACATGTGACATCAAACTACAGTTGGATACATTGAACATGTGACATCAAACTACAGTTGGATACATAGAACATGTGACATCAAACTACAGTTGGATACATAGAACATGTGACATCAAACTACAGTTGGATACATAGAACATGTGACATCTAACTACAGTTGGATACATAGAACATGTGAACTGTGACATCAAACATCTGGATCATAATATGTGGAATGTTAAACCCAGTTTAAAGAATGAAGGTTTGTTTTTATATGACTTAATGAAATTGAAAATGTTTGGATAATGTATTGGCTTTTTTAACAGGTGCTCTTTGCAGTCAGCGTTAGGAAAAACAATGGAAATTTTTTTAAGTATTTTAAAAAATATAAGCAAATAAATGTTCACTAGCAACACCTACAGGTTTTCCAGATGATGGGTCAATAAAATCAGCCCAGAAGCCAGAGTCATCAAAAGCTTGACAAAGCTCAACAGCACCTTGGATGAACTAGATCCAAAACAAGAGTTGACCAGATTTTTAGCATATTTAGTTTACAATTTGGAGATTCATTTTTGACAACTAATTACTTTTTCTTTGTTCATACACTTTCCAAAAAAATGTAATTAAAAACACATTAACATTCATAATAATATATAAAATGTAACATAAATTGGAAAGATTTTTAACAAACATGAATGTAATGTAGCCATGGCCAAAAAAGGTTAGGGCTAAACCAGCATACCATTTCCAGAAGCTTCTCTCGCTCTTGCTCCACCTCTGAGGACCATATTGTCATATCATTTTCTGTCTTAAGTGATATCGTTATGATAACCAAGGTACCATCCATAATATTTCTCTGAGGGAATAGCTCCTTGAATTCTACACAAACAATTGAACATGTATGAAGTTTATGACCCAAACAATTGAACATGTATGAAGTTTATGACCCAAACAATTGAACATGAAAACTACAATTTTCAAAGAAATTTGCCACAACATTTTATTAAAGATAGTTCTATTTTGTTGTGTACAGACATGTACAAAAAATATATTTGTGTACAATAACTTGTGATCTTGTTACTTAAAGACTACATTTTTTTTTAAAGCTATCTTGCTACATATACATTTTGGGAATTGATTTAAGCTTTTAACTAAGTAAAATGTGTGTAATTTTGAAAGATTTAATATTATACTCCACAACTGGTTTTGATGGTGTTATTTCCCTTTCCTAAAGGCTGAAATAATTGAAGCACCTGGTGAACTACTAGTACCTAGAGCTATACAACATTCTGGTGAACTACTAGTACCTAGAGCTATACAACATTCTGGTGAACTACTAGTACCTAGAGCTATACAACATTCTGGTGAACTACTAGTACCTAGAGCTATACAACATTCTGGTGAACTACTAGTACCTAGAGCTATACAACATTCTGGTGAACTTTTAGTACCTAGAGCTATACAACATTCTGGTGAACTACTAGTACCTAGAGCTATACAATATTCTGGTGAACTATTAGTACCTTTCCTCAGCAAGGTGGGACAGTTGTGTGCTCTGTATTCAAGTTTGTCTGTACAAGTTGGCCCAGACATCTCTCTGTCTATAAAGTCAACATCAATCTAAGAGACAAACAGAGCTGTCTATAAAGTCAACATCAATCTAAGAGACAAACAGAGCTGTCTATAAAGTCAACATCAATCTAAGAGACAAACAGAGCTGTCTATAAAGTCAACATCAATCTAAGAGACAAACAGAGCTGTCTATAAAATCAACATCAATCTAAGAGACAAACAGAGCTGTCTATAAAGTCAACATCAATCTAAGAGACAAACAGAGCTGTCTATAAAGTCAACATCAATCTAAGAGACAAACAGAGCTGTCTATAAAGTCAACATCAATCTAAGAGACAAACAGAGCTGTCTATAAAGTCAACATCAATCTAAGAGACAAACAAATCTCTTTTCTAAAACTGCTTAGGAAGGGACCAAACTATTAACTAACCTCATCAATAGATGTTAAGAACTGCTCAGCTATATCACTGTGATGTAGAAACAATGTTTCTGGTAAGGCTGTATCGAGATCCAACACTGGCGACTCAACGGCCTTAACCTTGAACTGGTCTGTGACTTTCTTAGGGTTGACACAAGGCCCTACCTGACCTGGCAATAAAAACCTTTTGTCCTGCGGGCCCAGTAGTCCAAGTTTTTTGTCTGGCCACACAGTCTCTGGGGACAAGGTGGAAGCAGATTGTCAAATAACTACATGTAGCTACACAAAGGAAATAAACATGTCTAATAGCTAAAAGAACAAAATAGAAATAAACCTACATAGTTTAGGAACACCATGGACAGATTCCCATCTATACTATAAATGTGCTGGCTCATTACATGTTATCTAGTGATACATTTAAAAAAAATATGTGTTGTGAGTTTCTGTGTGACTGGTGTTCATTGGTATTGTTAGTCAGAGTTCACCACAAACACTTGGGTAGGGTTGGTTGTTTAGGTGTCATTTTTTATGCTAGTTTAGTGCACTTGTGGAGTTTACCCACAACTTGAGTAGTTACCCAAAGGTTACATGTCAATAGTTTACACACAACTGTGAGTAGTTACTCAAAGGTTACATGTGAATTTAAAAGACGTGTCAATTAGAGTTAGAGATTTGCTAGAGGTATTGTGATGACCATTTGTAGGGCAAATGTTGGACCTCTTGGTGTCACCAATTCCTTGTCACAGTTAGCCTGATGCTGTCCTGTCGCAGTTAGCCTGATGCTGTCCTGTCGCAGTTAGCCTGATGCTGTCCTGTCACAGTTAGCCTGATGCTGTCCTGTCACAGTTAGCCTGATGCTGTCCTGTCACATTTAGCCTGATGCTGTCCTGTCACAGTTAGCCTGATGCTGTCCTGTCACAGTTAGCCTGATGCTGTCCTGTCACAGTTAGCCTGATGCTGTCCTGTCGCAGTTAGCCTGATGCTGTCCTGTCACATTTAGCCTGATGCTGTCCTGTCACAGTTAGCCTGATGCTGTCCTGTCGCAGTTAGCCTGATGCTGTCCTGTCACAGTTAGCCTGGTGCTGTCCTGTAACAGTTAGCCTGATGCTGTCCTGTCACAGTTAGCCTGATGCTGTCCTGTCACAGTTAGCCTGATGCTGTCCTGTCGCAGTTAGCCTGATGCTGTCCTGTCGCAGTTAGCCTGATGCTGTCCTGTCAGTGTATGTCTCAAATTATTACCATGTACCCAGACTGTGAGTAATGTAGAGATTTCATTGAGAATTGATATAAATAACTTTTATTGCAAACCACTGATGTGTAACATCTGGAAAATGTAAATAAATTTCAGTTTGTACTGTTTCATTTTGTTAGTTTAATTGAAATTGGTTAGTTCAGGTTTTGTAAACCTTGTCCCAACACTGAAACACGGATGAGTGAATAACAGTACCTTGGTCCCACTTACATGTGTGATAAATGTGATAAAATGGATTTAGACAGATTGTAACTTGTATTTAACTACAACACTCCTAAGACATGATGAATAGATGAGAACGGATAGTAAGTTATGTTCAACTACAACAACTCAGATGAGTGACATACTTGCTGTATCTTCAGTCAGTTCAGGAAAATGATCTCGTATATCAGATGCTGAGGAGAAGGTCCTCCATCTAATTCTTGCTGCGTGAAAGCTAGGTAAATAAGCTACGGTTCTAGAACATTTTACAATCTGGAAAAAGTAGAGAAAATTATTCCACCTAAATTTAATGGGAATAAGAAACCAAGATTACACAGACCCATTCAAATCAGAGAATAACTCTAAAATAATAATTTGTAAACTTCCTGGCACAATAATAAGACACAAACACAGCTTATTGTATAGTAATATAATTACTCAAATGCTTCTGATCCATCTAGACATATTTTTTTCTTAAAATAAAATTGTGAATATTATTTTGTTTTCCAAATTAGCTTGATTTATATAGCAGTGTAATAGATAAGAAGAGACCAGTTTAAAGTACATTAACACTATTCACTGGGAAGAGCGTATCTTAAACATTTGTACTTTATCTAAGACAACAGCTGAAAATCTTATCACAGATCTCTCAACAGGCAATTTGTATTGAAATCAAGGCTTAACTTGAATTTAAGCTCAATGGTAATACACGAGTTACAGCCCACTCATACTTGTGTTCCATTCAAATATTGTATTAAATTGAGCCTACATTTAGTCTACATATTGCAATTGGCTAACAATCTTTTAATTTGCCAAAGAGAATAATTATTTTATGATTGGTTTCATTATTCTAGTGCACACACAAAAACACCAGTGGACCTTCTGTAGCCAACACACTTGAATTTTTAATGTTTTCACAACATTTAATGTAATAAATGAAGCACATTTATATAATGTGAAGGAGGTATGGGGTTGTTAGAGTTGGATGAACAGGGAAATACAACTGGTGTACAGATAGTTTTCAATCTCTAAATGAGGCTATACAAATGGTTTTAAATGAAGATGTAAAAAGTTATCTCCTCGCACTGATTTCCATAATTGATAAGGAAAATTACTTTTGGTCTAGAGGGTAGCCCTAGAAACATGAGGGGTAGTGATTTATGAACATTACATTTAAATGGGGCAGGAACTGGTAAAATTGTCACAATTCAAGTCATTTGAGCATTGCATAGTTAAACTCACTTTTGTCGCCATTACCGGTAAGTGACAGCAAATAATTTGACAATTATGTGATCTGTAGATGATAAAAGTATCTGATAACTGTAGAGCACAAGTTGTATAAATTAACAATCAGTAGTTATAACAATAATATTGTTTTGGATAGCAAATTAAAAGTGTCAAAAACCAAAACATGACAAATATGTTTAGTATTTCTAAAATCTAAAGTTGGATTGTCCTATACAAATAAATCTGTTCATTCATTTTTTAAATTCTAAATTGTTACATTTTGTTATGGGCATCAGGCATCTTTGCCTACTACTTGTAGTAAATAGTTGATTAGGCCTAATGGACTACTTGTAGTAAATAGTTGATTAGGCCTAATGGACTACATTTTTAAAATCAATTTATAATTACCATTAGGCTAATTTATTTACATCTACAAGCTAGTAAAATCTTGAAATTGAAGGGCTAATTTTTAATGTTTTAACCTTATTTTTGGCACTGACTTAAATGAAACTGCTATACGTAGTGTGATTGACAAAAAGTTTGAAACTTTCTTACTTTGGCATTGAGAAAGGTGTGACTGTTTTACTTTAAGTGTGATTAACAAAAAGCTTGGATCATAACAACCAAATTGGTCTCAGAGTGTGTGCCATTATTAGAATATACTAAGTTGTTCAAAAAAATACCTATATTTTCAACACTTTCAGGGCTCTACTTTTAATACTTAGATAAAGCCTTGTAAAGATATTGCTGAAAATACCAAATTTTTAGCATAGTAAGGTGTACGTCCACATGGGGGGGTCGTCGTCAAAAGTGGACGTGTGCAGACATGTATAGACAGGGGTCTAAAATTCCAAATTTTTGTAGACATCATAAATGGATGACCCCTTCTCTCATTGACAAAACAGAGCGAGCAAGCAGTCTGCCAAAGGTGGCCCATGTATGAAATGCATTTTTCTTGCTCGCTGATGGTTAATTTTAAAGAGATGACAGTTTTATAAAGAAAAATCTATTAGATACAAATCTTGATAAATATTTTATAGGCTACTCCACATTTAAATATTAATTACTATTAATTAGAGCCTAAAAATACTAAAAATAGTGAAAATAGCTCTATGTATTCTTGTCTTTTAAATCAAATAACTCTGAGATATCGCTTGACTCTTAAACCAGCTTATGTGGCTCATAAACTTTAAAGTATTAATTTAACACACATCACAATTAACTGGTAATAATTTATGGGGTTAATGAGATATGTTCGTGGGCAAACGATCACCCCCAATAATGCCATTTTATTATAATCTTGTTTAGTGAAAACGAGGCGCGGGAAAATGTGTGCTGCGCAAGAATCCAATCATTTGGCTAGATTTATGACTGTTTTTTTATGTCACACCTAAAAATAGAATGTTTACACTTTCTTCGTTGATGATCGTTATTTTTTAAACTGAAAGTATGTTTGCGAGCAGGATTTGCTATATAAAAAGCGGCCATCTGTAAGAGTGGCTTCCCCAGAATCTTGCGCTATGAGTTTACAAAAAAAAAATAAACAAGATCGCTGCTATAGTAAATGAACATGGTTGCATCTGTTGGAAACATTGCTAGTCTTCATTTATTACTGAAAAGTTTTCATTGAATTGTTTAAGAACAGGTACATAAATGAAACAAGGAAACATTTTTGTATTTTTCAAAACATATATCCTCCTCAAAATGTAAAATAATTATTAAAATTTAAGGAGTCACCTGTTTTTCACATTACTAGTCGTGGTTGATTTTACGCACCTAAAATGATAAATCACCCAAGTTTTTTTTCCTTCTGTCAAGTTCAGTGAAGGGTGCCACAGGCTGACCTGACTTTGGAATTTTTTTCAGTAATAATGACTTTGCACAGAAAGTTAAAATATGCTAAATTGGCTTAGTTTACTAGTGTGCTAGCTATTACTACTATTAGTATTATTGATACATTTTTAATTAAAAAATCATTCTGTAATTCTCATCAAAAAGCCTAGTAGTAGAATCTAGGGTAATCTATCGTTTTAGGTACGTAAAATCGTCCGCGACTAGTAATGTGAAAAACAGGTGACTCCTCACATTTTAATAATTATTTCACATTTTGAGGAAGATTTATGTTTTGAAAAATACAAAAATGTTTCCTTGTTTCATTTATGTACCCTTTTTTAAACAATTGAATTAAAACTTTTCAGTAATAAATAAATGACAACCAGCGATGTTTCCAACAGATGCAACCATGCTCATTTACTATAGCAGCCATCTTGTTAAAGTTTTATTTTTATAGACTTATAGCGCGAGATTCAGGCGGAAGTCACTCTATTTTACAAATGGCTGCTGTTTATATAGCAAATCTTGCTTGCAGACACTGCTGTTTAAAGTTAATTTCTGGCCTATATAATATATTGATATATTTAGCCATTGATTTAGGTTTATTATTCATTTATCTATAATATTTGACACAAACATATCACAATATACGTCTATTACAGCCTTGACAATGAGGTAACGTTTTCGTACATTAATAGCCGCGGGCGATTTTACGTACCCAAAACGATAGATTACCGAATCTAGTAGTTACTCCTAGATCTAGACTAGTAATAATAGAAATGGAGAAACAAAATCAAATGGGCTGCCTTGTCCTTACCTACCTACATTACTTACTAGATCTACATTGACATTAGGCCTAAACCTCTTCAATTTTATTAAATAGAATCTAGACTAGATTAGATTTATTACACACAGGTTACTTCTAACTTCTAGATCTAGGATCTAGAATCTAGATTCTATCATATTAACAAAGTTGAGGGCACATAGAACGACCTGGAAGTATTTTTAGTTTTATTACAGCAAAGACTGTACTATACCAAAACAAAATAGACCACGTAAAGCGCGCAGTTGAATTGCGCTATAATAATTATATATTTAACGTTTTGTTTTGGATTGCATTTTTCCAAGGGTGTGGGGAAATTGCGAAACGCGAAAAGCGAAATGGCGAGGCGGGAAAATGCGAGAAGGTAATGCGAGACATACCTGCGGAATTATGGGGAAATAGCGAGACACTTTTTGCGAAAAAAAAATGTTTCTTTTTTTTTTCCATCTTTATTTATTTAAATTATTTTTTTTTGTTTTAAAATAAACAAGCATTTAGCCATACCCTTTAACACGAGTGTTGTATGTTGTTATTTTTTATCTAGATACTAAGAAGATAGATAGATCTATATCTAGATCTATTTAAAAATCCTAACATCGTTGCTGTGCTATCTGTCATCGCCCGCTCTTGTTAGCGAGAGGAAAATCCCGTCTCAGTCAGCAGGAGAGATATTTTGCAACATCTATTTATGGATTTTTGTACTTGCAAAAAGTGTAAAAGTATAAACAATTCTAAAAAGTGCAATTTTTTTTATTAAGTAATTTTAATTACAAACAAAATTTACAAACAAAATCTTCTGAAACACTCCTTAAACACACCTCGTGACACCATCTTTCACACATAGTACACCCAACCCAGTTCATTAGACTCCCATTTATACATTTTTCTTTTGCTACTTCTTCCAATCCACATTCACAACATTTCACATTCTCATCACAGTTGACCTCCTCGTTCATCACACAAACAACACTGGCACCCATGTTCTCATCATCATCATCCGCACGCTCAACTTCTGTTTTCCGTTTTTTATAATTTGTATTTTTTATCTGTAATTTTGGCAATGTCTTGCTCATTGTTGTCACCAGCAGTTGAGTTTTTTTGAAACATCGATATTTTCCCAAAATCTTGTCTAAGTTTGGTCAAAATAGAGAATTTTAATCAATTCATATTACAATGTATTAAAACAGTTTTCTAAAACGCGAAAAAACGTCTAAAATTATTTTTCTAACATTGCTTTTTTATAGTGTGACTTCACATCTAACCCCCCCCTCCTCCCCCTCATCACACATCGTCATAAAATTACAGACCCCCCCCCTACGAGTGTGACGTCATTTATGGAAAACCCCAAATAACACCACCACAAAAACCAAAAAATTCAGATAAGTTCAACTTGGTTTTAAAAATATTTGAAGTAGGCCCATAGCTTACGATATAGCACGAGCAACTGACGTGTGACGTCACTTTATTTTGTTGTATCCAAATGATGTAGGCATTTCCTTGTGCTTAGATTTATATGGTAAAAAAAGCTAGAAAAAAATCGTAGGCGGCGGCTATAATACAAAATTTCTATGCAACAATAGAAAATATGTTTGCGGCGGCAGCGGATCCGGGCACGGCGATCTTCAAAGACGGTAAATCAGGCGGCCTCGGCGTTCCACACAAAAGACAGAAGTTGATCTATCGTCGGCGGTATTCCGTCGGTTTCGAACAAGGTGGTATTCTAAGTCGACACAAAAGATGGGGGGAGTTGACAAATCATCAGTATGTCTAGCGACGGAAAAATCGGAAGTTTTAACAATGTAAACGAAACGTCTTTGAAGTCTGGACCAAATACCATTGAAAATCGGGTGCGGTAAATTTTTCGCAGAAATCTTCGCATTTCAACACCACCCAGCGTACGTATCGGCTTGTGGTAAAATGCGAGACAAAAAAGTCACGTGACCGACTGTTTTCGCGCCCTTCTCGCATTTTCCCGCCTCGCCATTTCGCTTTTCGCGTCTCGCAATTTCCCCACACCCTTTTTCTAAACAATCCTGTATACTAGCGATCCCGTCCCGCCCGCTGCTGCGGGCTGATGCAATACTTTAAGAAGATTGCAACAAATTCAATGCGTTAGGCTACCAAACGTAACCTTGTTTTCTAAAACTGAGTTATTTAAATTTAAAGAAAGCAGGCGCTATATTTCTTAGATCTGATATGTTTTGGCGCTGGTTTGTACACGCTACCTCCCAGATGCCCCATTACGTGCTGTATAAAAGTCCTCTCTGAGGTAGACAACCTTCGGCGACGCCCCATGTGTCAGGGGGGTCGGGGGGCGCTCAGGTGAGCCACCGATTTCACTACCGCAGGGGCTCCTGGTACGGCCCCTGGTTCGGATTAATCATTGAATGGCATGTGCCACCGAGTCCATATCGTATTTATTTAAAATAAATGTAGGCACCATAGTGCTTGCGGGGGACCCCAGGACGCCAAATCGCAGCCCCTCCAAAACAGAATTATTTTTTTCGCAGAAACCTTCCTGTAAGTATTCTCTTAATTTTTTAGAACTGTAGGCTTTATTTTTATTACAGACTTTTTATGGACAAAGGGAAAAAACCCAAGTTAATATATTTTGCAAAACAATCTAAGCACAGTTAATTCCCCTGATTTCTTAAAATTCAATAATATTCCTTTTTTTTATGGAGCCCTCGGCGGGTCCTTGTGAGTCAATGTGAGCCACCGGGAACCAAAATTGCCGGGAGTATTCTCATCAATTCCCCAAAGTTTGATGTTGATAATAATGCATTAAGGACACACACACACAAAACTACATACTTTCACACACACATACATATATACATATATTACTATTAAACATGCACTGTCTAAAAATACCGAGGGGGAGAAAAGGGGTGACAGCAACTACAAAATAAAAAGTTGTGTTGAATAATCAACAATCGGTGGAGGGGGGGGTGACACCAAATCTAATAATTTACTCTAAAAGCTATGTTCTTTTAACTTTGAATTAATGGGAGGATTCATGTAATATGTACACAAATTGAAGTCATTAGGAGAAAAAAAAATCTGAAAGAAAAACAGATGGGGGTGGCACCAATCGCAACGATCACAGACAAACAATTTACTGATGGGAACAAAATACACCCTCCACCCAAGTGGATTGGGGCGACACTATATTGGAAATTTGAAAATCAACCTATCATTTGATGCTTTGGCGTGACTGCAAAGTAACGTTTCGATACTTAATTCCTTATCATAGTCCTTTGTTTGCGAAAGTGTGTGTATAAATTTGATTGTGCAAGTTGACTTCAATAATGTCGCCTTATATCGATATTAGACATTATATTCATATTTTTAAAAATGGTGTCTAACGAACTAGTCACACCCAGAGGCGTAGCGACCCTTCCCAGCGCCCGGGGACAAACTTTTCGATTTGCACCCCCCCCCCCCCCATTCGAGATTTTGATTTGCAACCCCCCCCCCTCAAACTTTTGATTTGCACCCCCCCCCCCCTCGAGATTTTGATTTGGGCGGCCTACTAATGTGGTCCTACTTTGGGAAAGTATATTAGCGGCCTTAACTTTATAATTCAAGCTATTGTTAATTTTCCTGACAGCTGTGAAGGGTTTTAAGTTGTATGCAATTGTATTACAGGCATAGATGAAATCAGCTAGCACAAAACGACATAAGTCCACCTTTGAATATGCCCGAATATGCCCGATTCCCTGATAGGCTAATGATGGAGTTGAAAGCAAATATTTTACTGGGGATGGGAATGTCCACTCATTTTATTTAAAAACTATGTCAATGACCTAACTTAAAACGTAAGCCTAAAGCCTCTGCTTATTTCTTCTTCTTCGTTCTTAATTTTAGTGTTGGAAGAGATCCCCTCCAACACTACGTGTAAACTGTTTATGAGCCATTTGACTCAAATTTCAGCCTGCTTTTCTTTTTGGATTTGCTACCATAGCCTTTGTTCGCAGGATCGGCTGGTGGTTGTCCCCAGCTAATGAGCCTCATCTGCCCATGAACTTTACCGACTCGACCACGCCAACCCGTATCTGCTTACGAGTGGAACCTATTTTACAATGAAAACATGATTTTAAAATCATCGTTAAATCCTTTACATCGGTTAAAGTTCAGCTAGCAACCCTTTACTTTCACAGCAAAGCATATTTTTAAAATTTTATTTTTAGTGCATTTTATAAAGCTTGTTATAATTCAAGTGTTTATCATGTTGTAACTCGGTTAACACTAAAATCCAGCAGTATTGACGTTATTTATGGAGGCAGCCTAACCTGAAGCCTGCTATTTTTAAATGAATTGATCTCTACCCAGAGCAAGTCTACCGCCCCCCCCCCCCCTCCCTCACAAAATAAAAAATACACCAAATTAATGTAGACAATTTATAGCCAGCGTTAGCCCCCATCCACAGGTAATGTAGACAATTTATAGCCAGCGTTAGCCCCCATCCACAGGTAATGTAGACAATTTATAGCCAGCGTTAGCCCCCATCCTCAGGTAATGTAGACAATTTATAGCCAGCGTTAGCCCCCATCCACAGGTAATGTAGACAATTTATAGCCAGCGTTAGCCCCCATCCACAGGTAATGTAGACAATTTATAGCCAGCGTTAGCCCCCATCCACAGGTAATGTAGACAATTTATAGCCAGCGTTAGCCCCCATCCACAGGTAATGTAGACAATTTATAGCCAGCGTTAGCCCCCATCCACAGGTAATGTAAGGAGCGAAATTTCTTCTTGCTCTCCCCGAGTAAATTGTATGAAAGAAACCCTCACACATACACCCACATGCTGCAGACACACCCACATATTCCAATGTTCCAATCATAATCATAAAGCGACACGAACACATCCCCGCCAATGGCTGTAATTTAACCACTTTTATCTTGTGGGCCCATGTGTGTGTGTGAGGAGGGGGGGGGGGGGTAATACACTTAATGCCTCGGCCACAACATAGGCTACATTTAAAACTAGATGGTAATTTTATTTGATGTTAGCTTACGTTGTCAAGGGGGCTCACGTGAATTCGATTAGTTGATTTGCTACCATGGATTATTACTGAGTTTGGATCATAGCCAAGGGAATCTGCGAATAGCAGATACGTATCTGTAGAGAGCGGT